TCAGAAGTGGAGAAGCTGAATGCCATTGAGTTTGTGGAAGCATAACTGCATTCTACATTTGAAAATCCTCCCAGTACAAAGTCTGTTAGGTGCTCCTTTTCCCAGCTAACCTTTGTGCTGGTGATATGAAGTCGTAATGAAGCACCGCTGTCTCGGTCAGCTGTGGTCGTCCAACAGCTTCTACCATATCTCTACATTTATGCTGTTTTCTAAGCAACTACAAAGAGACAAAACTTGAACGTTTTGTTGACATCCATTACAAAAATATACTGTACGTGCATAAGTTGTGTCCCAAATGACGCACTATACACTATGTACTCGGCTGTCTAGTGCATCAGTTATGAGGTTATTTTGTCAGAGAGCCCGTGGAAGTTTGTTTCTGTAATTAAATTGTTTCTGTAAAAAATAATTGCGACTTTTTATCTCACAATTCCCGTTTCTCACAATTGCGAATTATAAAGTCAACTGCGGGATACAGAATAGTGACTTTTTTTCTCATAATTGCGAGTTTATATTTCGTAACTCTGACTTTATATCTCAATTCTGAGGGAAAAAAGGTCAGGACTGTGGGATATAAACTCGCAATTGCAAGAAAAAAAATCTGAATTGTGGGTCAATGTATATCTTCCAATTCTGAGTTTTTCTCAGAATTGTGACTTTTATAACTCGCAATTGCAAGTTAATATCTCAACTCTGAAAAAAAGTCAAAATTGCGAGTTTATTTCTTCCAATTCTGAGTTTATTTCTCAGAATTGCGCCACACAAAAAAAATCAGCTCACAATTCAGACTTTTTTCCTCGCAATTGATAAACTCACAATTACGAGTTATAAAAAGTCACAATTCTGAGCTGAATTTCTTGCGGTTAATTAAAGGGATGGTTCACCCAAAAATGAAAATGTTGTCATTTAGGGTGTATTCACACCTGCCTTGTTTGGTTCGATTGAATCGAACTCTAGTTCGTTTCCCCCCTTGGTGCGGACCTTTTGGGCAGGTGTGAAGACAGCAATCGAACTCGGGTGCGGACCAAACAACCGAACCGAGACCCAGCTGAAGAGGTGGTCTCGGTACGCTTCCAAACGAACTCTGGTACGGTTCGTTTACGGTGTGAACATGAACCGACCCAATTGCAAGAAAGCACTGCGCCTTTTAGTTAACAGGCTTCCGTAGTCGGAGATTTTGGCATAATGGTTTGTGTTATTGGAATTCCATTCCGGCGCGCTGTCTGGCCACACGATACTGTTGCGTGTCTTTCTGCGCGTCGTGTGTGCATCATTGGAATGGAATGAATGAATGAGTGTGTGCATCAGGACATTCACATACAGAGCGTTCTCTTAAGTTTAATCGCGCATAGATGCAAAAAAAGCTTTTGCAGTTCATTAAATGTAACGATAGTTACAATCCAAGGATGATAGAATAGAATAGAATAGAATCTTTAATTGTCATTGTACAGTAGAACCATACAACGAAATTTGCTTGTGCAACCTCTTAAACAACACTCACTTTCATAAACACACTCATACAATAAATAAAATAAAATAAGAAAATATATTAAAAAACCGAAGTCCCATTGCATAAAGTCCCTATCTAGAAAGTGCAGCTGTGCGACTGGGGGGTGGAGGAGCATGATTGTTCAGTTCTGTAATGGCCCTGAGGATAAAACTGTTCTTCAACCTGGAGGTGCGTGCTCCAAGAGCCCGATACCGCCTACCAGATGGAAGCAGGGAGAAGAGATGGTTTGAGGGGTGTGTCTCATCCTGCAGAATATTATGCGCTCTGCGTAGGCAGCGGATTTTAAAGATGTCGTCCAGTGGATGCAGTGGAAGTCCAATGATTTTTTCTGCAGATTTTATAATTCGGTTGAGGGATTTCCTGTCCTTCTCTGTGCAGTTGGCATACCATGCAGTCATACAGTATGTTAGAACACTCTCGATGGAACATTGATAGAAGGTCTTAAGCAGCTCAGCAGACAGGTTGCTCCTTTTGAGTATTCGTAAAAAGTAGAGCCGCTGTTGCGCCTTTTTGACCATGGAGTTTGTATTTATCTCCCATTTTAGGTCCTCTGAGATCATGATCCCCAAGAATTTAAAACAGGAGACCTTTTCCACTTCCTCGCCATTCATGATGAGGGGTTGAGGCTCCTTCTTACACCTTCTGAAGTCAACTATAATCTCCTTTGTTTTCTTGACATTCAGGGTCAGATTGTTGTCTTTACACCATCCTGTCAGTCTATCAACTTCATCTCTGTAGGCGTTCTCGTCGCTGTTCGAGATTTCTCCCACCACAGTTGTGTCATCTGCGAATTTTATCATTGTATTCGAGGGGTGGGTGGGGATGCAGTCATACGTGTAGATGGAATAGAGCAACGGGCTCAACACGCAGCCTTGAGGTGCTCCAGTGCTGAGGGACAGGCTCGAGGATTGGTGTGGGCCCATTCTCACTGTCTGTGGGCGATCTGTCAGGAAATCCTTGATCCACATACACAGGTTGCTGCTGAGGCCCAAGTCAAGGAGTTTGGTGACCAGCTGGTTAGGAATGATGGTGTTAAACGCCGAGCTATGGTCTATGACATCAGAAGCATTTAATGATGCTGCGTTAAACTGGACAAACTTAATCGCAAGCGTTAACATTGACAGCACTGGATAGCAGTATATACAATGAGAATCTCATTATTTGAATGTGTGAACATAGCCCCTCTCTATGAATCAAAACTTTATACCTTATCCGTCTTCTGCGCAGTTTCTTCATATTGCGTTTGTACAGAATAACACAAAATTAGTATAATAACAAATATTGCAGTAGGCCTACGAAATATCTCCATGCTGAGCCTTTTTTGCACTTCCTGATTTCCCTACTTGAGAATCCTTGTCCAATGAATGGACGACCTTAGCACACGTGTGGTTTTGTTTACAAATTTTGGTTCACTTGCAAAAAGAGCAGTGTGAAAGCGAACCGTACCAAAAAAAAAAAAAATTTTATTTGGTCTGGACCAAAGCAAGTGAACTATCGGACTTTCCTGGTGTGAATACACCCTTACTCACCCTAAAGTGACTTTCTTCTGTTAAAGACAAAAGAAGATAGCTATTTAAAAAAAATTGGGTAAACCCGAGAATTGACGCCGGTAAACATTGACTTCCACTGTTTTCTTCTTCGTGGAGGTCAAAGGCTGCCGTCAACTGTTTGGTTACCAGCATTCCTTAAAGTATCTTTTGTCTTCAACAGTAGTAAGACATTCAGACGGGTTTGGAACAACTTGAGGGTGAGTAAATGATGACAAAAATGACATTTTTGGGTGAACTATCCCTTTAGGTGCATAATCCGGGTATTTAAAGTGCACGTTTTTTTCTAAACACACTAATCGCTATTTATACTACTAAATTACATAGTATGTGCATAGGAACCCACATAGACACAGATTTTCCTAAAAATTTCAGCACCTCCTGAAAGTCTTATGAATCATGTTTACATTTATTATCCATGTATTTACACACAGACAAGCACTGGATAAAAGAAAACCCAACAGGATGAAATGACGATAATATATCAAACATTGTGTAAACACCTGAAGAACCACTGAATATTAGATCACACGGTTGACACACACTTCTCATGAATGTCAGAACACTGACTTCTTCAACTACAGGCAGCGTGAACATTTGTAACTTTGTTGTTGGTGTGTAATGCAGAACATACATACATACATACAAGATCTGGGCCTGTACCATGATGGTAGTTGAACAAACCCAGGGTAACAGGATTAGTTTCGAGTTGACAAAACCAAACCAATTTAACCAGGCTTTGTTGGTACCATGATGCTGATCATCAACTTGATCCTGAGTTTAGGAGTTTAGGAATGACATCAGTAGCGAACAGCCAATCACGCGCTAAGAAAGAGTGAAACTGAGATTCACTTCTCTCTTCTGCAGAATATTACGAGATTGAAAAATATTAAGAATTTAAACAAATTTACACAGCAAGAAGAAAATAGCTGTCTATGAAAGAGGACAACTAAAAGAAAAAGTCTTGCTATATATCAGTGCAAGTAAAAGTTGTGAAGTTAGTTTATACAGTTGATAAAGCTATAGAGAGAATTGACCATTTGAGCTCACATGTGGTCATTTTATAGCTTCATCTATTGATTCTATTGAAGCGTATTTATTTATATTACCATTATATATTTATTCATTTAAACTGTGCGTGAACATTTTTGATAAACTAAAATTGTATGTGATCGATTAATAATTACATAAATAATATCTAAATCATACAAAATTATTATTCTAAATAAGCGTTACTAAAAGCCAGACGAATTTGTCTTTAAAAATCATTTGCTGTGTAGTGACCTTTAATTTGGAGTAGGAACAGGAGTGGCTTTATCCATGTCTCTTTTAATTTCACAAAGTAATGTTTAACTGTAAATTCTATGTATAATTTTGAATGATACCTCCTTAACTGTTTGTAATTAAATATTGATTAGGTAGCCTAAATCAAACCTTTTTTCTGCACTATATTGCCTGTAATTGATTCCAATATGAGTAAATAAGGCAGAGACACATTGTTTTTTTTGTTTTTTTTTAATAACACTCTTATGGATCTGTTTTGTGAGTTAAGGGGAAAACAAATATGACCTACATAAACTTTACTATGTGGGGACCATTGTTGAATATTGATTATTTTCTGATGTCTACAACATACAAATTTAAGAAGATATTGCATCAAAAACTTTTGCATAGTCCCCATTGTGTTACAGGAATCTTATAATGTGCCAAAAACTCATTGTAAGTGAAAAGAAAACAACTGATCCGCCAATATTATGCCATTATCAAAACAATATTTAAAAAAAAAAACAATGATTTGCGTTTATATAATATATCCTGTTCCATAATACTTATGTGGTGAAAAGTTATGCTTGAAAGTCAAGGACCATGATAAAAGGCAGAACATTACCTGATCATCTGACAGGTGACACAGGTGAGGTCAGAGTTCGCTGTCGAGTGACGTCACGCCGGTGATCGTTGAGCGCGCGGAACGCGGAAGCGGGAGTCAGTCAGTCAGAGTCAGTGCACTAAAGTTTCCCGAGGAACAAGGTAGGCTATGTGGTCTAAACGTGTTATTTGGAAATACTAAATGCATGAAGTAGCTTTAGGAAATCGGCTTGCAAATCGGATCTTTCAATGCTGTCTAGAGTTTGTTATTAGCCTGACTGATCTTTGACTGATCATGACTGATCTTTTTTTAATGATAAGCGGTTTCATGCCACTGTCTGTTCAACGCGTGTATGTAAACGGAGTGTGTGTTTGTGGGCTTCTCGACCTCTGAGGTGCTGCGGACAGTCCCTGTGTGTTCAGGACGGTTTACGCTTTGTTGAGTAAAGACACACAGCAGACTGTGGGAGACAGTTGTTGTTTGCCCAGGGCGTTTTCCAGCAGAGATGAAGAAGTGCTTCTCCTGTCCCGGATGTGGAGAACATGGAGTGCGCAGTTTCGAGGGAGCGAAGGAAGCATGACTGATCTTACTGAAACTAGAGATGATTAATTCGAATAAACAAAGTTACATGTATTTTTTTAAACTTATTTTACGTCGTAAAACAATTTTGAAAATTAATGTTTATTATGTTTTACATCTTATTTCCCATCTTTTTTTTTTTTTCTTTTTTTTAGATGAGCAGGTTTCCTCTTATCTTAATTACACTGTAAATGGTGACCCTGAGGTGCAAACTATATTAACAAATAACAAAACTGCAAAATTTAAAATGGAAAGGGCAGGAGCCCTCCACATGACATGCAGGAAAAAAATATTTATAATTTACTAATTTGTTCCCTCAAATTAAAAAATCCTGCGCACGATTTACTATTCCATTCCCTTGATTTGCTATATCGTGGAGATTGTCCTCACTGCAGAACATGAAATCCAGGGGGAGGAGTTGGATCCAGATCCTACTCCTCCCACCTTACATATACCTAAACCTACCCATCTCCGCCCCCTGATCCCTAACCCCACCCCTAATCCTACCCATCTCCACCCACTTATCCCTAACCCCACCCCTAATCCTACCCATCTCCACCCCCTGATCCCTAATCCTACCCATCTCCACCCCTTAGATCTGGATCCAACTCCGCCCCCTGGATCTCGTGTACTGCAATGAGGTGCTACTGATATCGTGCACACGATTTATAAATCGAAGGAACAAATTAGTAAATGGTTCACACTATTTAGCAAATCAGGGGAACAAATTAGTAAATCATGCACGCGATTTTTCTTGCATGTCATTTGCGGGGCTCCGTACTTAAAGTCAATATGTAGCCTAATCAAAATGTACAAATCTTAGAATGTAATATTGCAGTGTTTATTATAGCCTAAATGAGTTATCGGTGTGGATTATTTTAATGAATGTTCCTGGTAATCCTGAATCAGAATAACTTCACTTCACGCATGTCTTCTCTGATGAAGTGTTTACTGGCGCGAGGGCGGGGCAACCTGTCACTCACATGAGATCCACCAATAGCAAACCACAAACGTCTAATCAATTCCTCACAGACAAAATCAAGTCCCGCCCTACATTATTTATTGTTTCAGAAGCCGGTTCATATTTCACTATAGGGAAGAAAAGATTATCTAAACTTTCATCCACATTATGCCGGGTAAAAGAAGCATGTTGATTAGACAGATACAATCCATGGTGAGGTGACACTGACACAGTTCCTCATGTGCATTGCATTGAAGCATACATTTCATTTGCACTTCAGGGCAACTATAGTAATAAGCTTTACATCAAACACAGAGTTGCAAAAGGTTCTGTATAAAATACTATAGTGTAAGTGTACAGTACCTACTTCAGGGGATTTTCACTGCTATCGCTTACAAAGACAGGAAACAAGCCAATCTCTGATTAATTAACTCTCTTTTTTTAATTGATATATTGAATAATAATAATTCCTACAAAATATTTAATAGTGTTCATCGGAACTTTATTAAAAAACTGCTTGTACCTTTACATCCAATCACCTTTATTTAGTGCTTTATGGTTTTGGATGCTCTTATTGAAATGACGGCACAGATCGTGTGCAACTCATAACTCCAGTCTGACTGTTCACATATCCAAACGGTAGATTTGAATGTTTCTAGACCTTATCCGCATCTTAGGCTGTTTTCGACACCACTGGTGTGATGTATACAGCTATGATTAAGCCAAATTTGTAGTAAATATCTGTTCAGCTCACATAACCGGTTTGAGGTGAAAGTGGTAAATCTAGTGTTGGCTATACATGCATAAACGAAGTATTGGAGGTTCACGTTTAAAGTCTGTCTGTCTTTCTTTTATTTGTTGCAGATCAGTTGCAGGAGACAAACATGTGGCCGAATCAAGGTGATTTTTGGTTTCACTTTTTCTCTGAATGATTTCATTAAAGTCCCCCTGTAGTCAATACTTGTATCCTTTAAAACTCATCTTTGATCACCAAAATGACATATTTAGAAGTTTTTTACTTAAAAAAAATTCTTCATGCCTTAAAATAGCTTGAATGCAAGTCGACACCCTTGCCTCATTTAGTATACATGGTTCTATGAATATGCAGATGAGCCCCGCCTCCACTCACTCACTCAGCTCAGAGATCCACTGGTTGACGATCACACGTTGATCTGATTGGTTACAAGGTCGTTTGTGACGTCAGAAACACCAGCGATTTGAAACCGTGTTTTTGAGACTGTCTTTGGTTCACTGCAGTTTTAAGGAGAAAATACTCGGCAATGCTGTCGACTTATGAATTTACACATGGTTTGTCTTAAAGGAGAACTCCGGCGCAAAATGAACCTTTGGTCTAATTACACATTGTTACCTAGTCAACCGTTATCTGAGATTTGTTTTCATGAATATCGAATGTAAATAGTTTTATCTCTAAAAACAGTTAAGCCTATAATGCTAGTATATTGGGCATCGAGTAATGACAAATAAAAATCGCTTGTTAATACCACTAACAAGGCTGAAAATAGCCCCACACTAACACGGTAGCATAATGAGGGTCCCTACCTTCAAACCGAAGCATTGAGAACTTTGTCAGTGTCCAGACAGTTTAATAAGAAGATATTTAATACATACAGTCAACTTCGCGTACACAGGCAGAAGCCATCTTTGAAAAGCAGTCTCTACCCGTCGATCTACGAACGCCGATCCAAGCCTGCTGTTCGCGCTCACCTTATCACAACTTCTAGCTCGTTCACATCTCACCAGCGCACTTGGATCGGCGTTCGTAGATCAACTGGTAGAGACTCTTTTTCAAAGATGGCTTCTGCCTGTATACGCGAAGTTGACTGTATGTATTAAATATCTTCTTATTAAACTGTCTGGACACTGACAAAGTTCTCAATGCTTCGGTTTGAAGGTAGGGACCCTCATTATGCTACCGTGCTAGTGTGGGGCTATTTTCAGCCTTGTTAGTGGTATTAACAAGCGATTTTTATTTGTCATTACTCGATGCCCAATATACTAGCGTTATACTAGCTTTATAGGCTAAACTGTTTTTAGAGATAAAACTATTTACATTCGATATTCATGAAAACAAATCTCAGATAACGGTTGACTAGGTAACAATGTGTAATTAGACCAAAGGTTCATTTTGCGCCGGAGTTCTCCTTTAACCCTTGTGCTGCATTAGGGACATTTTTGGTCTTTTGCAGTTTAATTTCTTTGACCATTTTGGCTGTTTTAATGCAAATGGTATGTAATTTGGCAAAATTGTGACTTTTTAGATAAATGTAAAAAAAATTATCCCATTTTGCAAAATATGTATAACACACTCTGTGTAGAACAAATAGTAACACTCAGCACCATAATGGACAAAAATGTCCCATTGAAACCCATTAAAACGTCGTTTAAAGCCGGGGCCATCATTAATACACGAATCATGATTTATGTTGAAACATCCTTTCATTTTGAAGCAAAAGCATTATATTTGCATTATATAGTGTATTCCACCAGATGACGTCACTACATAGGTATTCCCTATGGGTGGAAATGCATGTTATTTTCCTGGTTTCCACTAGGGGCACTATTGACTGTGTTATGAAGTATTTTAATGGCTCAATGACCTAAAATTGTTTCTGAGTATGTGTGGATTAGGGATCGACCGATATGGATTTTTTAGTGCCGATACCGATACCGATTTTTTCCCCATCAGCCTTAGCCGATGACCGATACGGGCTGCCGATTTTCTTGAGCCGATATTTGGAGCCGATACATTTTGCTCCCTCAATTTACATCATAAAAATGACATGATGTTAACAAATGTTACAGGTCTCAATTTAATAAAAGTAACATTTATTTAACGTAAAAAAATCTATATTTAACAAATAGTAAAAACATGTGAGGTAGAACAAGAACAAGTAGATAAACAATATTTAACAAATATTAAAAACATGAGGTAGAACAAAAAAAGGTTCACTGCTGAAAATAAATATTTAAGCATAAATAAAATAATTACACTATTGCACACAGTAGCAACCAGCATAATAAAGTGCACAGTGCACACTGTACTTCATTTTAAAAGTAACGAACTATTTACTGCCATGGTTTAAATTTTTCTACATAAAATAAAATGAGCATGTCTAGTCATATCACTGCGATGGCGAGGGAGACACACACCACACGCGTCCAAACCTCAGCCAGGTGGTCGCTGAATAAATCTTCCACAAAAAGCACGGAACAACGTTGGTATTACTTGATCCTATGACCAGTGTTCGTAACAGCTACCGTACGCATACTAGGGCTGTCAAAATTGCTCAAATGGCGTTTGTATATTCCCTCTAAAAAAACATATTTGAGCATATCGTCGTGCATTTGGTCAATGACGCGCATTACGTCAATAACAGGACAAATTAATACAAAGAGACATAACTACTAGTATTAAGTAGCTTATTTGAGTTTAAACATATTTGACAACGTATTACTACAAAAAAAAAAAAACGAGTAAATCAACTAATGGCCAAGACCGCAGAGCTCACTCTGGCTCGCCCGGACTCGCAGGCGCACTCTCTCTCTCTCTCTCTCTCTCTCTCTCTCTCTCTCTCTCTCTCTCTCTCTCTCTCTCTCTCTCTCTCTCTCTCTCTCTCTCTCTCTCTCTCTCGCCTCTCTCTCTCTCTCTCGCCTCTCTCTCTCCTCTCTCTCTCTCTCTCTCGCACTCACCCTCACGCTCTCCGCGCATACCGGTTTAAATGAACAACAACAAACAAATGTTGAGTGCTGATCAAGAGTTTTGTGCAAGCAATTTAAGGTATATAGCAGGCTTCATTCAGTGATTGAAACAAATACATTAATTGAAGTTTCACAGTACATAGAACCGACACTGAGCGCTCCGAGCGAGCTGTGCTGTGGTAACGTTAGTCTGCTACCGCGGGCGTGTTTTTCCACATTCGAATATTAATTTTCACCTTCAAAATTCAGTTTTTTTTAAACTATTCGAATATATATTCGTATTTAGAATATTCATTGACAGCCCTAATGCATACTGAACGGATAGCCTACAGCTATTTGCAGCTCCCTAAATACAATGGCAAGCAAGCAGTTTTATAGACGAGTCATTCGCGTTTTCCATTTGGACCCACAAACTTGCTTAGCTATATAGTTGCAACCACATAACAGTTATAAAGCAACGTGTTTCCATTTTCAAAGTGTTTTACAATATTTCAGCAGTCAAACAGTTAAAAGATGCTTTGAAAGTTTAAAAGTTACCGTTATCTTGAAGCGCAGGTTGCACTCTGCTAGTGGGGGAGGGACAGTGCAGGGTCTGCACGTGAACTGCAGCGTCTCCAGCAGCACAGAGCTGCCTGTGGACGCCTGTCTATAAATAATGCCGGGAAAAAACTATCGGCGAACGCAGCAGCCGCGTATCGGCCGATTCCGATACACGTAAAAACCGCAAATATCGGCCCGATATATCGGCCGGCCGATATATCGGTCGATCACTAGTGTGGATGTCTGCGAGCAATGTGTGTCTGCGTTGAAAAAAGTGTGTGTGTGTGTAGGGCCTAAATATAATACATGGTGTTTAGGCGAGTGACAAATCACAATATCCTGAAGGTCATATTTTACCCTTTCTGTCTACTCTCTCTCTCTCTCTCTCTCTGTGTGTGTGTGTGTGTGTGTGTGTCAGGGGTGTATGATGTGTGTGTAGGCGTGTGTGTGTGCGTGTGTGTGTGTGCATTTAGCAAGAGAAAGCGCTTCTCACTGCATTGTTTTCTTTCGGTTTGATTCATGTGTATTTTACGCACAGACATGAACCTTTGACACAGCTTAGTTTTTTTTAGCAGTCTATGTTTCAAAGTTAATTGATAATTTCTCACATACGTAGAGGCACAAACACAGCCATGCAGTCAGTCCTTAGACAATAATAACACCTTTCATCTTGCGGCAACAGAAAGATGTAGCTGCGAGGGATCCAAAACAAAGTCTGCCTTTGTTTTGGATTAGACTAGTTGAGAAATCAAGTGCAGTTGATGCAAAAGTTATAAAGCTGTGCACATCTTTGGTGCGGCAATTTCAAACTGAGCAGAAAATTCAGAGGAAAGTGGGTCTGCAGACACCCATGACAAGAGGAGGAGGGGGTGCAGTTTCTGCCCTAACAAAAAAAGAAAAATCTCCACCACCTCCTCAAAATGTGGCATTTACATCTGTAAGGAGCATGCATTGCAATTCTGCAGCTCCTGCAAATGAGCTGAAGAATGATTTTGTTTTGATATGTTTTATTAATAATAATAATAATAATAATAATTCATTACATTTTATATAGAGCTTTTCTCGGCACTCAAAGCGCTTTACATAGAAGGGGGAATCTCCTCAACCACCACCAATGTGCAGCTCCACCTGGATGATGCGACGGCAGCCATACTGCAAATTTGGCCAGGATGCCGGGGTTACACCCCTACTCCGAAAGACATCCTGGGATTTTTTTGTGACCACAGAGAGTCAGGACCTCGGTTTAACGTCTCATCCGAAGGACAGTGCTCTTTGACAGTATAGTGTCCCACTATGTTAGGACCCACACAGAGCACAAGGAGAGCACCCCCTGCTGGCCTCACTAATTTTATATTTATAGAATTAAATTGTTTATAGAAAAAATAAATATTCATGTTCATGGTGATCTTGTAGTTTTGCTTTCTTTCTATAGCAAATTTTGATGTGTAGTGAGACAGGCACAGGTTATAATCACCTAGTAGAAATCAGGAAAATGTTTGCAGTACTATAGATGTTTGCAGTATGTCAATTATATGACAAATGGTACCAACTGGTGGAAAACAGTAAAAAGTAAATATTTTACCCCAAGGCTTGGTAATGACAGGGTATTTGAATAGAAATTATGATTTTATGATATTATGACAATGGGTTCAAAAATGGATATTTGAATGGGTTCAAATAGGACCAAATTTGTCCTTAACGCGCTATGTGTGATTTTTTTCAAAAATCTTACATATCACAAAAAAATAAAAATGCACCAAAAATAATGTTGCTGCTAATCTTTGACATATTCAAGACTGTGATAATCCAAAGCCAAGGTTTTCACTTTGCATTTAGTATATGGAAAATAATGACATTTTTGTGTTTTTTCCTCTTATACAAATTGATGGTATCACCACCAAAACTGGTATTTAAAGGGTTAAAATCCTGAAATTAAATAAATATTTGGTAGTTATGATGAGGACTGATGCTGGTTAAAAGATTTAATTTGGTAAAAGTGGAAAATAATAATAATATATAATATTTTAGGCAATGTTTAATATGTGGCCATTTTTGTCCATTAACGCGCTAAGAGGGATTTTTTTTTTTAAATCTGACATAACACAAAATCTTTAAATGCACCAGAAATAATGTTGCCGCTAATCTTTGACATATTCAAGACTGTGATAATCCAAAGCTAAAGTTTTCTCTTTGCATTTAGTGTATGGAAAATTCTTACATTTTTGTGTTTTTTCCTCTTATACAAATTGATGGTATCGCCACCAAAACTGGTATTTAAAGGGTTAAAATCCTGAAATTAAATAAATATTTGGTAGTTATGATGAGGACTGATGCTGGTTAAAAGAATTAACTTGGTAAAAGTGGAAAATAATAATAATATATAATATTTTAGGCAATGTTTAATATGTGGCCATTTTTGTCCCTTAACGCGCTAAGAGGGATTTTTTTTTAAAATCTGACATTACACAAAATCTTTAAATGCACCAGAAATAATGTTGCCGCTAATCTTTGACATATTCAAGACTGTGATAATCCAAAGCTAAAGTTTTCTCTTTGCATTTAGTGTATGGAAAATAATTACATTTTTGTGTTTTTTTCCTCTTATACAAATTGATGGTCTCGCCACCAAAACTGGTATTTAAAGGGTTAAAATCCTGAAATTAAATAAATATTTGGTAGTTATGATGAGGACTGATGCTGGTTAAAAGATTTAACTTGGTAAAAGTGGAAAACAATAATAATATATAATATTTTAGGCAATGTTTAATATGTGGCCATTTTTGTCCATTAATGCACTCAACGGCGTAAAAAATCTAATGCAGCACAAGGGTTAAAGCATATTAAAAACACCACATAGACACATAAACAATATTAAAAGCTGGATTTTCAACCCAACATTAATGTCTATGTTGCACCTCAATCCAGGTCACAGTCACAGTTAAGATACTGATAGTCAGTGTAATCCATTTTACCGGCTATTTAATGGACAACTTGTTTTCTAGCCAAAGTGAGTAAAAGAGGAGAGACAAAAAAAATGGAAAATGCCTGAAATGGTCTTATAATTATATAATACCGTTATATAAATAATGCATACTAATATAATAAGTAATCATCCATAAAACTAGGTCATTTTGTCAATCAGTATGATTCTTAATTAAAAAATGTAAAACGTAAACTAAGATCGGTGCAGTACCTGTTTGTGATCTCATACATTTACATTTATTCATTTAGCAGACGCTTTAATCCAAAGCGATTTACAAATGAGAACAATAGAAGCAGTGAAACTAACAATATGCATGTGCTATGACCACTCAGTTTAATCTAACGCAGTCCATACTCACAGCAGCACAACAGGTTTGCCATGCAGGGATAGTTAATGTCGCATTGAGCAACAGTGAAGACCTTCATGATCCCAAAAAGGCAGATGCTGTGTTTTCACTAATGTGGTGAGATTAGCAGGATTCCTCTAGTGGTGTCTGCCTTGCATCAAACAGAAAACAGAGTTTTGTATTAAAGAGGCCATATTAGGCCATTTTACAGTCTTGATGTTGTTTTTGGGCTCTACTAGAACAGGTTTTCATGCTTGAATGTTCAAAAAACATTATTTTCCCCATGTTTTACATTGTTGTAGCTCCTCCCTTCCCAGTCTATCAGTAACACTGGGGTGTGTTTCCCAAAAGCGTTGTTAGCCAAATAGTCACAAGTTCCATCATTACCAGCATAGTTGAACGATTCTGTGTTTCCCGAAACCATAGTTCTAACGAACATTCGCAAACAGCATCCCAAAGTGGTGTGTTTGAAAAGACAGCTCTCGACCTGCGGTTAGAAGCAGAGTTTCGTGTTTGCATGACACGTGGACTTGCATAGATCATGCTCTTGAGCAAAACAAGCAAACTGACATGCAGTGCTTTCTATATCTTTCATTCCAAATATAAACAATTTCCATTCTACATCTTTTAGTTTGTCGAGAATGTTTGTAAAGTTCTGTTTTTGAAGAGTGTGTGCATGTGCTCTGATGCTCTGGAGTGACGTAAGTGAAACATCTGGAAGTAAAGCTAAACAACAGAGAACACAAATTGCGAAGTAGTCTTCATTATTTACACTCCAATAATATGACATTAATTCGATCTAGAAGGGATTCTAGAATCGAAATACCATATTTTCTTAGTGATAGATTCTATTTATACTAAGTGAAAATAGCATTTTCTTTGCGATAGGCTGTGTAAATGGTTGTTAGATGCTATTTATTCGTATAAATAGTGGTAGATACTATTTACACCTCAGTGTTTTTGTACATTTTAAACTGTTTGCAATGATAACATAGTGTAAATGATAATATTAATTCAAATTATTGCATGTATGCTGCCTTATTGGGACAATAAAGCCCTCCCTACACCTAACTGATAAACAATTTTTTAAACTCACGTTAGGCTTTTTATTTCAAAATGTTGAATATTTGCTTAATTTCTATTCAAATTAAATGCCTTTCAGGTGTGATGTAAAAAAGGGAGTGGAGTGAGTTCGGCCAAAGGCGGATTCGAACTCGGGTCGATTTGCATAAAAGTTTTCTGCCACGCGACTTACCTCTACACTATTGGTACTGTTGACAATCCAGTGTTTTCCTTAATTTTGTCTGGGCCAACCAGATGTCAGTGTGCGGAGTTAGTGTAAATAGACATTATTTTAACTATATTGTTAAACCAACGTGGTTCGAAAGATGGATGTTGGACAGGTACTATGTTTTAGGGAAATAGTGTTGACTAGCTAGTTACTTTCTCCAACGACGCATCGTACTAGTGGTTAAGCAACGAGTTATGGGAAACGTACCCCTGTTTAGTTCCTGTCTCTATGAAGCCCCTCCTTCTGCTGAAAAGCACACTGTGCTCTGATTGGTCGGCTGGAGCAGTGTGTTGTGATTGGTCGAGCGCTTCGAGTGTGTTTGGGAAATGTCCCGCCCCTTACCATAACCGCCAGTTTCAACACGCTACTAACTAATTCAACCAGGCCCCGCCCCTTTATTCTGCGTATTTATTATTAAATGAGGAATATTGTGACGTGTTTGTTCACGGATGAACAATGTTTGTGCTGAGCACAACGTTTTGTGTGTGCTGATTTACTGACAGAGAGCAGGAAACCAACATTTAGAAACCAATACATTAATATATTTGAAAGTTTTAAGCAAATTTTTGATTTTAGATTTAATTTTGTTCGATAAAAATTTTGGTTAGTGTTCTGGGTCGCCACTTGATTTTCAATGTAAAATCTGGGCCCTAAAGCAAAACCAGTTGATACTAAACTCGTTAGCTTTACAGTTGAAAACTTTAGATTTAAAGAAACAGTTCATGCAAAAAATGTTCCATTTGCTGTTCCATCACTGTTTTACTGTACAGGATTTTCTTTCTTCCGTAAAACACAATATTGAATGGTGGTTCTGCTTGTAGTGAAAGTGGATTATGATTTTTAAATGCCAATGCAGTGACATATTGACCACCATTATGATACTCTCTTTTTGAGCTTATCCTTTAAAATCATCCATTATCACTGTTCATCACTGCCTAGGGACATTCTCCTGTTGTGTTTCATGGAAGATTCATGTACAGTCAATACTTACACGCTTATCTCATATCTGTCTTGCTGTGATACGCAGGACCTCCGGTTCAGCCGCCCAATCCTGCCTATCCGGGACCTCCAAACCCTGGATATCCAGGCATGCCTATCCCATCACACCCCGGACAGAACCCTGTCTATCCGCCCGGCATAAACCAGCCCAACACCATCCCGTACATGACCCCGAATCAACAGCCTTTCCCTCCCGGTGCTCCCGGTCCGCATGGCCCGTATCCCGGAGCGGGTCAACAGTACCCCGGCCCCTATCCCGGAGCGGGGCAACCGTTCCCCGGACCGTATCCCGGACCTGGGCATCCGGGACCGTATCCCGGAGCTGGGCATCCGTGCCCCGTCCCGGCTGGAATGAGTGTACCTGGTCATAAGAAACACAAAAAGATGAAAAAGATGAAGAAAGGGCATAAAGCTCATAAAGCTAACAAGGAACATAAACATATGAAACATGGCAAGGTAAGAGGCTGAATGTTCAGTGGGTATAAATGTTACGTGACATTATTACGCCGGTGATGTCTAAACCCTTCTTCGATAACTTCATGCAAAATATTTTTTTTGCCAAAATCTGAGCAATAGCCTCTCTCTCTCTCTCTCTCTCTCTCTCTATATATATATATATATATATATATATAGTTTGCAATCGAAATTATTCAACCCCCATTGCAAATCAGGTTTATTGGTAAAATTTACAGTCTTACTGAAATGAACACATCAAACAAAAGTAATTGAAATAGCCCAACACAACAAATTTTGTGGTTTCCCAAAATTCAACGGAAAATGCAACTTTTAATGACTTCTGCAGTCTCTAAATTATTCAACCCCCTGAACAGAATCCCTCACAACTGCACAAATCTGCAAAACAGGTGTCGTTTCACTAATCAAGGGCTTCATTAGTTGCACCAGGTGTGCTTGAGCTAGAACACATGAAATATCTGAACTGGCTAGGTTTGTTTAGTGTCACGTTTGACTGCATGTTAGAAATATGGCTAAGTCAAAAGAACTTTTTGGACCATTAAGAGAAGATATCATCGCCCTTCACAAACAAGGAACAGGATACAAAAAGATAGAGAAGGCCCTAAATGTTCCTAGATACACCGTTGGAAGCATAGTTCCCAAGTTCAAAGTTAAACGAACAGTGGTTGCACTACCTGGACAGGGCTAAAAAAGAAAACTGTCAAAGGCTGCAACCGGATATCTGAGAAGGCAGGTTCAGAAAAACCCTCAAGTGACTGCAAAAGACCTGCAGCAAGACTTGGTGGCAACAGGCACTGAGGTTTCGGCTGCACAGTAAAGCGTGTAATAAACGCATGCCAGAACTCCAAGACATGCACCACTACTGACCCAGAAGCACAAGAAAAGTCGGCTCCAATTTGCTCAAAATCATATCAATAAGCCACAGAAGTTTTGGGATTCTGTTCTGTGGAGTGATGAAACAAAACAGGAGCTTTGTGGCCCTATGGATCAACAGTATGTCTGGAGGAAGAAGAATGAAGCATATGCTGTAAAGAACTCTCCCTACAATTAAACATGGTGGTGTTCGGTGATGCTCTGCAGTTGCTTTATATCCGCTAGCACAGGAAACCTGCAGCATGTGGAAGGCAAGATGAAGTCATTGAAGTTTCAGAATATCCTTGGAGAAAACGTCATGCCGTCAGTGAGGAAGCTGAAGCTTGGGTGTCATTAGACCTTCCACAGGACAATGATCCCAAGCATACCTCAGGCTTGGTTGCAGAAGAAGTCCTGGAAGATCCTACAGTGCCATCACAGTCACCTGACTTGGACCCCACAGAAAACCTCTGGTGGGATTTGAATAAGGCGAGAGTATTCCTGAACTGGAGCCATTGCTCATGAGGAACGGGCTCAGATTCCTCCGAAGCGCTGCCAGAAGCTGCTGTCTGCTGATATATCTCGTTTGCAGCAGATCATGACAGCAAAAGGCTGTTCTACTAAGTACTAAAGATACTTGCCATTAAGGGGTTACATCATTTTTTTAACTGCAGAAGTAATTAAAAGTTGCATTTTCAGTTGAATTTGGGGAAACCACTTGAAACTATTTGTTTTGTTGAGCCATTTCAATTACAAAAGTAATTGTTTTTTGATTTGTTTGTTGCAAACAGCGGAAAGTTTGTAAATTTTGCCAATAAGCCTGATTTCCAAATGGGGGTTGAATAATTTTGATTACGAGTGTGTGTGTGTGTGTATATATATATATATTATTACACACACTACTTCTCAAAAATTTGGGGTCAGCAAGATTTTTTTATATTTTTTTAAAGAATGAAAAGCAAGCATCAAATTGAAATCACAGTAAATACCTTTATAATGTTACAAAATATTATATTTCAAATAAATGCTGTTCTTTTGAACTTTTCTATTCATCAAAGAATCCTGAAAAATAAAATGTATCAAGCAGCACAACTGTTTTCAACGTTGATAATAAGCATAAATGTTTCTTGAGCATCAAATCATCATATTATAATGATTTCTGAAGGATCACTGAAGACTTGATGATGTCTGTTGTGTCATTATTTAAACAGATGGCCAATGTGTTAACTTCTTAAACAGTTCATCATGAAAGGTGGTTAGCTGCAGTGATGCTGAATTGTTCTCCGTTTAAAATGCGTTTTGTTTTGTCCTGTTTCAGCATTCGTCCAGCAGCAGTAGCAGCAGCAGCAGCAGCTCTGACTGAAGATCAGCTCCACAACATCATTCATGCACTAATACACAACTTAAATGCCTCTTTTCCTAATGAAAACCATGTCTAATTTCCAGTGTCAGGGCAAACGACAGACAAACTGCCCAGGAGCAATAAAATAGATAATCACATTAAGTTTTAAATATACCTATACGTTTCTGTGAATCTGAATGCTTTTCTCAATCAGTTACTTTTTACAAGGCAAAAATAAAATAAAAAATCACATAATGCTTCCAGGCATGAATCTGCAACCGTTTATTTAACTGTGAAATGTGATTGACCATCTGACTCCTTGTGAAGAGAAGTCTCGTCAGTTAGCAAAACTACTTTGACATCACTCAGCATGTTTTAATTATTAACCTTTTACTGACAAACTTGACTCAGTTGTGAACAACTATACTGACATTCAGACATTTGCCTCCAAAATTGTACATCATACATTTATACAATTATAGCCTAATCAAAGTTACTTTAAACTAAATGCTGCTTGATTTCATCCATTTAGAAAAAAATGTTTAAAAAGTTAACATTTTGTTTTGTAATAGTTTCACTCAATAATGCTTTTGCCGGGGTACGTTTAAGATTTTGAAACAACACCCATAATTGAATGTTTTTTTTTTACATTTCTTTGTGCTTTTTACTAGTCTAAGCAATCAACATGTGTTGATCAAAGCTGATCAGGAATTTATGAAGCTGAAGTAGATCTTGTTGACATATCCATGAGTAATAAAGTCACGTGATGCATTTCAGACTGTAAACTCTCTAAGTGTGTGTGAGAAATCATTGTTGAACTTCGCTGCATAATTGCTGTTGGTTTATAATGAGGCACTTAAAGTGTTTCAATAAATAATATATTAAAATCTCCCTGTGGTAAAAATCCAGCTTTTAATGTTGTTTATGTGTCTATGTGGTGTTTTTAATATGCTTTAAGACAAACCATGTGTAAATTCATAAGTCGACAGCATTGCTGAGTATTTTCTCCTTAAAACTGCAGTGAACCAAAGACAGTCTCAAACACACGGTTTGAAATCGCTGGTGTTTCTGACGTCACAAACTACCTTGTAACCAATCAGACCAACGTGTGATCGTCAACCAGTGGATCGCTGAGTGAGTGAGTGAGTGGAGGTGGGGCTCATTTGCATATCGATAGAACCGTGCTAAATGAGGCAAGAGTGTCGAGTTACATTCAAGCTATTTTAAGGCATGAGGAATTTTTTAGGTAAAAAACGTTTATTATTATTATTATTATTATTATTTTTATTGTCATTGGAAGTACAACGAAATTACATCAGAGCAACAATCGACAGTGTTTTTCATGAAGTGCAGATAATCACCGATAAAAACAGTTTGTTTACAGGGCACCGCAACAGACAACTACCAAGACAAGGGAATATCAAGCTGAATCACCTATAGAGCTACACAGTCCAGTTCCAATTGTTGGAATGATAAAGTCCATACTAACACCACAAATAGGGCCATAGTGACCCATAAACAGAGAAGGGGCGTATAGGCTGGATTGCTACCAATCAATGAAAAGTATAATTATGTGTGCTGCAACAATGCAGAGTCCAGTTCACAGTTATTGCAGTTATTGGGTAATGTTAAATAATGATAGATGTGTAAATTAAGTAACGGAAGGAGGTAGTCCGGAATGGTGCTCATTCAGCAGTCGAACTGCCTGAGGGTAGAGGCAGTTGGCCATTCTAGTGGTTCTAGCTGGAAGAGACCTGTACCTCCTGCCCGACGGCAGCAGGCGGAACAAGCCGTGTGCTGGGTGGAACCGGTCCCTTATGATGTTGTGTGCTTTACGCAGACAGCGGGTGGTGTACACAGATGAAATCTCCGGGAGGGTAGTCCCGATGATTTTGCCTGCAGTCTTCACCACCTTCTGAAGTAACTGTCGTTCAGCTGTGGTGCAGCTAGAAAACCACACCAGCAGCCCATAAGTCAGCACACTTTGGATTGCACAGTTGTAAAAATTTATCATAAGCCTCTGGGGGAGTTTCACTCTTCTCAGCTTCCTCAGGTAAAAGAGCCGCTGCTGGGCCTTCCCTACCGCTGTACTGATGCTCCTGCCCCAGGACAGATCCTCCGACATAGTAACACCCAGAAATTTGAAGTGTTTCACCCTTTCGACTGCCTCTCCATTGATGTTGAGGGGTGAGTGACCTAGATTGTTTGATCTACGAAAGTCAACTATGATTTCCTTTGTCTTTCTGATGTTTAGTAACAGGTTATGGTTCTCACACCACTCTGTTAACAGATCGATCTCCGCCCTGTATGCCTTCTCATTGCTGGCTGTAATGAGGCCGAGCACAGTTGTGTCGTCAGCAAATTTAATGACATGATTAGTGGAAAAAAAAGCGGAACAGTCATGTGTGTAGAGTGTGTAAAGTAGGGGACTGAGCACACATCCTTGAGGTGCACCAGTGTTGATGTATATGGTGTCAGAAACGTACTCGCCTATTTTCACACATTGGGAGCGGTTGGTTAGAAAATCCAGTATCCAGTAACATAGTGACTTGTTCAATCCAAGATTACACAATTTCAGCAGAAGTGTAATTGGCCGTATTGTGTTGAAGGCTGAACTAAAGTCAATAAAGAGCAGCCGTGCATAGGTGTTTTTATGCTCTAGATGTTCCAACAGTAGGTGAAGCACAATAGCAATGGCATCCTCCGTTGATCTATTTGCCTTATATGCAAACTGGTACCGGTCTAAAGCTGGTGGTATGGCCTTTTTTAGGTGTTTCATGACCAGCCGCTCCAAGCACTTTGCAGGGATGGATGTAAGTGCAACAGGCCTATAGTCATTCAGGCATGTGACATTGGCTTGTTTAGGGACAGGAATAATTGTTGCTGCTTTAAAACATAATGGAACCCATGACCTGGACAGTGACAAGTTGAAGATCCTGGTAAAAACTTCTGCTAGTTCGTATGCACAGTCCTTTAGCACCCGTCCCAGTACTCCATCCGGACCAGATGCTTTCCTCGGATTGATGTTACCTAGGCAAAGTCTCACTTCATGAAGGCTCAGGACTGGTGACATATCGTCGTGGGAGGGCAAGTGGGGGCACAAAGCATCCTTGTTCTCCCTATCAAAGCGTGCATAAAATTGGTTTAATTCAGCCGCCACAGTGGATGAACCATTCACAAAGGCTGATGTTATTCCCTTGTAATCCGAAAGTGCCCTTATTCCCTCCCACACCTGTCGTGAGTCAGTGTAGGTGTTAAAATGAGCTTCAATCATTAATACATACATACAAAATACATACAAAAATACATACATTAAATATGTAATTTTTGTGATCAAAGATAAGTTTTAAGAGATAAAATGATTGAGTAGAGGGGGACTTTAAGAGAAAGCTTGGAACGCCTACCAGTTTCATTCATTTTTGTGTGCTAATGTCTTTTAATAACAATGCAATTAGACAACAATCATAAGATTTACAAGGCACGCATCACTGGACGTACTGTGAACATGAAGAGATTGTAACTCTGGCTCTCAGGATCCAGCCGAAACAGTTTTGAGGTTAATTTTATTTTGTCTCTATGGAAAATAGTGATTATATGTTGAATATCAAAGTTTTTTATGTCTGTTTATTAATGAGGGATTTGTGGACACATCAATGTTTTTAGAATTGTGGAGTAAAAGTTATAGTTTTTATTTTGAAGTAAAAAGATACAATTAGACCCTTTGGGTAAGATGGCACAGTAAGGCCCAAATGTCGTGTTGTTATAGTGTTATTATTTTTAAATTTAATAAATATTGTAATTAATGGGATTATTATTTAATATTTCCATGAATTAGATGTACATTCTAGACATCTTTCCTTTCAATAAAACTTAGATGTTAAATGAGTTATCTGTTTCTATTATGACATATCTTCAATTAAAATATGGGCAAGAAAATATGTAAATATTCATATGCCTGTATATGCAAGTCATAGAATAATTTTACCTTTCAGATAAATCTCTTACTCTGATTTGTCTGGTTGTTCAATGGACAACTTGCACTGAAGTTCGTGACGCACTTCCGTTTGGAAATAGTACATCTCACTTATTACCGGTTATGTTTACTTTCAATCTACTGTAATCAATGAGTTGAACAAACGCCACCTAAAATGAGTGTCTGCAATAAGATTTAAAAATTTGGACATTTTTATTGTCAGAATAAGGGATATTCTGATGTTTCTGTGTGCAGAATTTTCCAAACTCATCGAAACATGAAGTTATAATCCAAACCAAGTCGATCTGAGAAAGTAAGATCAACTTGATTTTAAATCAGCATCACACTATTGATCCATATTACAATATTTAATGAGCAAGATAAAAGTATGGGGGAAGTAGTGCTGGTTCTGTGTGCCACTTACTATTTTCACTGGAGGAGAAAGAGCTCTCTCCAGTCTTTTCTGCCTCCGTTCCTCTCGCCTTCCAACTATAAACACAAAATACACAATTTTTAATAAGCAGGAATAATTTCCGACTTTACACAAATACCCATTTAAATGCTTAGGATGTTTGCGTTGTAAGACTGTTCAGGGAGACTTTAGATTTTAAACCGGTGTCTCGTTATTTAATGTTTTCTCAGTCAAATCATACAATTTCCAATTGATTCAATAGAACGCGTGAGCTAGGAAATACCAATATGGCGGCACAGTGGCGTCACTGTTTATGACGTCATGAGCTATCCAGTCATTCTATATACACTCACCTAAAGGATTATTAGGAACACCTGTTCAATTTCTCATTAATGCAATTGTCTAATCACATGGCAGTTGCTTAAATGCATTTAGGGGTGTGGTCCTGGTCAAGACAATCTCCTGAACTCCAAACTGAATGTCAGAATGGGAAAGAAAGGTGATTTAAGCAATTTTGAGCGTGGCATGGTTGTTGGTGCCAGACGGGCCGGTCTGAGTATTTCACAATCTGCTCAGTTACTGGGATTTTCACGCACAACCATTTCTAGGGTTTACAAAGAATGGTGTGAAAAGGGAAAAACATCCAGTATGCGGCAGTCCTGTGGGCGAAAATGCCTTGTTGATGCTAGAGGTCAGAGGAGAATGGACCGACTGATTCAATCTGATAGAAGAGCAACTTTGACTGAAATAACCACTCGTTACAACCGAGGTATGAGACGATTACCGGTTTCACGATAAACCACGATAAAATATACTGACAGTTAGTATTATCGTTTAAAATTTAATTATCATTAAAACCGTGTTTGATTATCGCGATTTTAATAACTCACTGTAAATCCTGTCAAGCCAGCAACAGTCTGACGCAGGCGCAGCGCGCAATGTTTTTTTTTTTTTTTCCCAGAAGGAATGGCGGAAGGCAGTGAGATTTTTCGTGTTCGGGAGATTTTTCAGCCTTTTAAGAGGACGAAATCTGAGGTGTGGTCATATTTTGGCTTTTACAAAAGTCCTGAGGGAAACTTGATCGAGGATGGTCACCCTGTCTGCCAAACAAAAAGTCGCTGCAATAGAAACACTTCAAATCTTCCGAGTCGTCTTGTGTGACCATCACCCACTGTTGTATAGCGAACGCAAGGCAAGTTAGCTTTGACCTCAATACCAAAACTACGTCTGGGAAATAATTGGGCACGAAATGTTGTTTTGAGTTGAAATATTTTGTCACTCACTTAAAGACGTGAAGCTTCCGCGAAGAAAAGTTTGCAGCAAGTGGCTTTGAGCCAAAGACGAACGAACAACTTCAAGCAAGACTATTATTAAGAGTGACATTTTAAGGGATACTAATGTATAGTTTCATTGTACACTTGTTACACCGATTTTATTTTTACCACATAATTACGGGGACATATTGAATTGAGATTAATGTTTTAAATCTTACTCGTTTATAAATCCATTTTGTACAGCGTACAAAACAATCGTCCAGACAAGATGATCACAACAATATTATCAAACTCTGTAAACAATAAATCAACTCCGATAAAACGGGAGACGCAAGACGGCAAGTTGTATTTGAATGAAACAAGAGCGCGCATCCGTTGTGACACATGGATGTGCGCCGTGTAATAATGCTTTGCTATTGACGGCGGTCATTATAAAGAAAAAAGGAAATGCCACAGAATAGAATCTTGCTTAAAAAACTGCATAGAGCTGCTTGTTTTATTTGTTGTTTGTTAATTTTCAAATATAAAACTTGTTGAAATGTTTTCAGTGTGAGCATCAGTTCTTTATGAACACTTTACTAATTTTAACAAAACCGTGATAATATTGATAATCACGATAATTTTGGACACTATAATCGTGATATGAAATTTTCATACCGTCCCATCCCTACGAGGTATGCAGCAAAGCATTTGTGAAGCCACAACACGCACAACCGTGAGGCGGATGGGCTACAACAGCAGAAGACCCCACCGGGTACCACTCATCTCCACTACAAATAGGAAAAAGAGGCTACAATTAGCAAGAGCTCACCAAAATTGGACAGTTGAAGACTGGAAAAATGTTGCCTGGTCTGATGAGTCTCGATTTCTGTTGAGACATTCAGATGGTAGTCAGAATTTGGCATAAACAGAATGAGAACATGGATCCATCATGCCTTGTTATCACTGCGCAGGCTGGTGGTGGTGGTGTAATGGTGTGGGGGATGTTTTCTTGGCACACTTTAGGCCCCTTAGTGCCAATTGGGCATCGTTTAAATGCCACGGCCTACCTGAGCATTGTTTCTGACCATGTCCATCCCTTTATGGCCACCATGTACCCATCCTCTGATGGCTACTTCCAGCAGGGTAATGCACCATGTCACAAAGCTCGAATCATTTCAAATTGGTTTCTTGAACATGACAATGAGTTCACTGTACTAAAATGGCCCCCACAGTCACCAGATCTCATGGGTGGAACGGGAGCTTCGTGCCCTGGATGTGCATCCCACAAATCTCCATCAACTGCAAGATGCTATCCTATCAATATGGGCCAACATTTCTAAAGAATGCTTTCAGCACCTTGTTGAATCAATGCCATGTAGAATTAAGGCAATTCTGAAGGCGGAAGGGGGTCAAACACCGTATTAGTATGGTGTTCCTAATAATCCTTTAGGTGAGTGTAGATCAGTGGGTTAAACCCATGAATCAGTGGTTTTTACTTTTTTTTACCTGATCTCTGCTCAGTTTTGTAGAGGTTTAAAGAGTTGTAGTTAAAAGTCTCTGATTGGTCTGATTAGCCAAGCTTTCCATTAAACAAACGTAACAAACTAGGCATTTAATATTTAACACATATTATACAGACACTTCTTATTTAATATATTCGATGATATGTTCATTGCATTTAATAGATTACACTTTCAATAAAACATTTTCAATTGGTTTGTGGAAATGTTTTTGTGCATGTTTTCACTGTTCTGGCCAGCAGGGGTCGCCAGCGTGTCGTGTTTCGAGCGATTCGAAACAGTGAATCATTTGGTGAAGCAAAGTTTCTAAAAGCTTCGTTTTTTCCCGACGCTTCACACGCCTGTCCAGCTGGTGGCAGTAATGCTGGTTCTCTAAGCGCTAAAAAACCCCTTTAGGTGGATTACGAAGAAGAAGTTTCTTTTCTTGATGAACGCGATCCGCTGGACAGTCAAGAGAGCCGTCAGTCACGTGTTAATAAACAAAGACCACCTGATGAAGAAGATGAAGAAGATCGGGACTCATAACGGCACCTTTCACTGTGATGAAGTTCTGGCGTGTTTCTTTCTGCGACAGCTGCCGGAGTATAAGGTGCATTCACATGAAACTCGCTCGGTCAGAGTAGCAGGGAAATTATGGGAATACAGACACAAGATATGTTTTGAGATGTCTATGATACAGCATGCCAAAAGATTGTATCGGACCCTTCATATGTGTTGTGTTCAGACCATAGACTGTAAAAAAGACGATGCATACAGGGCCCCGTTATGCAAGCATAATCGCTATAAACATTCGTTTGATCCATTGTCGACAAAACTGATAAAAAAGCAACTCCAGTAAGGTGATACAACTGCATGTGTTGGCGGAGTAGAGGTAATGTAAATACAGGAGTTGCATGCTTTTTAGGTAATTTATGAACTAATAGTGTTTATCTTTTTATTATCATTTTGTTTTTATTTAGTTTAGGGAAGGATGTTTTATGTGGAATGAATACTAACGTTTGAATGGTGGGTGTTTGTGGTGGGTTGATGTTGCAGCACTTCTCTCATCTAAGACACATTTCTCCTACTGGAGACAATAATAAAGTACCTTGACCTTGACCTTAGTTGTCTTTTCTCATTGTCAGGATGCTGAGATCGTGCGCAGCAGAGACTCCTCTGTCCTGGCCGACTGTGATGTTGTGGTGGATGTTGGAGGACAGTTTGATCCCAGTCGTCAGCTCTACGATCATCACCAGAGGTACGTGTTTCATTCAGTCATTTTTATTACATTTTTTGGACATACTTTGAGCTGCGCACACTAAGTATTGTTATTACTTGTAGGCAACAGTCATGAAAAAAATCATGAATATTTGATTAAATTAAGTCATCATATGTGTATATGACCTTCTTCTTTCAGACGAATACAATCAGAGTTATATTAAATAATATCCTGGCTCTTCCAAGCGTTATAATGGCAGTGATTGCAAACACAAACTTCACGGGCTCCGACGCGTTAATAAAGGCCTTCCGAAGCAAAACAATGAGTTTGTGTAATAAAAATGTTCATATTTAAAACATTATGAAGTAAAATAACTATGACATAAGACGAACGTACAGATTACACTTAAGTGTAAAGCGCAACTCATGCGAGTAATGCGACGCACTGCTGGTATTTACCCTACATGATGTCATGAGTTTCGTAAGTTGCGCTTTAGGTGTAAGTAGAGACTGCGTATGTTCGTTTGGCCGGAAGCTAGAATTTTACTTTGTAACGTGTTAAATATGAATATTTTTCTTTCACAAACTCATTGTTTTGCTTCAGAAGGACTTTATTAACCCGCCAGAGCCCGTGAAGTTCATTTATGACGGATGAATGCACGTTTTTGAGCTTCAATCTGTTGGTTGCATTCACTGCCACTATAAAGCTTGGAAGAGCCAGGACATTTAATATAACTCTGATTGTATTCGTCTGACAGAAGAATGTCATACACACCTAGAATGACTTGAGGGCGAGTAAATCATGGGCTAATATTCATTTGAAAGTGAACTAATCGTTATCCTTTAATGACATAATTTTATTTTTGAGTTAACTTTTAAGGACGTATTAGTGAAACGGGAAGAAAAGGATGTTTTGATTGGCCTGCGAGACGCGAGTGAGGATCAGCTGAATTATTCATCAGTGAGTGTGTGAATCTGTGTTTCTTTTCAACAGATGTTTTGCAGAAAGCTTCCACAGCTTGTGTCCAGAGAAGCCCTGGGTGACGAAGCTGAGCTCGGCAGGTTTGGTGTACCTTCACTTTGGCAGACGAGTTCTTGCCGCACTTACGAAGATGGAGGAGGACGACACGCGACTGGAGGTCCTTTATGACAAGGTCAGTTTAAGCTGAACGCGTCAAAGCAGAAATACTAAGCTTTATGAAACTCATCCGGAAATTACAATCAGACTTTTTAGCACTTTTAAAACTAGACTTGATCAAGTGGCATTCACCAGATGTCGTATAGGTCATAAGTTTGACCCATGCTTCTTTGCTTAAAGGTGAAACCCAACTATATCAGAGACAATTTATATAGAGACATGCCACTTCCTCAATCCTCAATACAACTATATAGGGAAAACCTGTAACGCCAAAGATGGCGGTTGTATGCACATGCCCCGCCCCTCCCGCTGGAAAGCCAATCGTCTGCTTTTAACAGTCAAGCCGGGAAACATGTAAGCCTATCGTCTGGTTCCACTGGCGCATGCGCACAGTTGAGGTTTGCGACAGCGGAGACGAGAACCCTTGCGCATGCGTAGTAAAAGCATAACCTGTGGGGAAAAAGGCCTTTTAAACCTTATTTTGGGGCAAAGTCATCAAACTTTTTCAGCGATTTTTATCATATTTTACTGCTGTTTCTATACATGCAGTTTTTATGTCCCGGTGACCAGTGAAACTGCAGTTCTGACTCTCTGCCCATTCATTTAGATAGGAGCCTGGTCTTGTTAGTCCGAAATAGCTGCCCGGAGGCGTTGCCAAGATGGCGGCCGAGTGGCATGACTTGCCTAAAAGGACTTTGACTATATGCATGTTTTGTAAGATTCCCCTACATGTTAAACTTAATTAATTACATCATCCTGGACTTATGGTGCGTTCACGTGCTATGGTAATTATGGTAAATACCAAAAGCCGACGTGGAAAATGCACATGAACACCCCCACATGTGGTATTTTCCACTGGGCAGCTCGTCGAATATTTTGATGCACGAGTTGCCGAGATGAGATAACCTTTGACCTTTTCAAAATGGCGGAGAGCAACGCGAGAGTCGTGAATGGTAAAAATATGTACTTTTCATGATCTAGAAAATATACAGCTTATTATTTACCGTTTGAGTTTTGATAAATCATTCTCTTGCTGTAGCAGATGACTTAAGCAATCTAAAATAGCTTTAGCTAAATAACAGGTCTGGATCTCCATCTTTTTACCACATTACGACAACAAAAGCACTTGAACGCAACACACTGGTAAATACCAGTTCACAAGTGGAAAATATCATATTTTCCATAGCACGTGAACGCACCTTTAATGCAAGTAGAATGCCTTTTTATGAAGTTACCTCACTTAAGGACTTATTTAGAAAGATTATGCCTGAAAAGGGTTTGGATTTTTTTATCATGTTCATTTAAAAAATATTGTATAATATGTTTGTTTGGTCTTCATTTTATTTATATGATATTTGTATTTTTGTAATTGAAAATTTGCCATGAAAATAGCCTTGGATGCTGACATGGCACTTAATAAAACAATGTGAATCTTTAATAAAGCAGAAGTCAGATGTTCCAGCGTCCGACACCTGAAGTCTTCTGTTTCAGATGTATGAGAACTTTGTGGAGGAAGTGGACGCGGTGGATAACGGGATCTGTCAGTATGACGGAGAGGCACGTTACTCGATCTCCACGACCCTCAGCGCTCGCGTCGGCCATCTCAACCCACACTGGAACAGCAAAGACCAGGACACCGAGGTTTGCTGAGAGCACACACACACACACACACACACACACACACACACGTGTTTGATGGGGGGGGGGGGGATCTTTTGGTACCTCACGATTCAAATCGTTTCTTGAGATCACGATTTGATATGTGCATCAGTGTTCCCACGGGTCCTTGGAATCCTTGAAAGTTTGTGATTCTTAAAAAAAAAAAAAAAAAAAGTCAAGGCCCTGGAAAGATTTTGCAAAACAAACACACACAGATATCGGCCCTCGAAAGGGCTTGAATTTATGTTGAGCAAGAAGTTTTCTGGAAAAAAATGTCATATTAATTCCTCCGGTCCGCTAATGTGTTATTCTGCCAGCACTTCGTGGCCTATGCGCACTAGCTTGCTTGATTTACGTTAGTTACGCGCATTTACGCGCCAGTATCATGCGCATGCACAGACCGCGGGCCAGAATACAGTTCTCTTTCTGCTTGAAGTGAAGGAACAATAACACACACAATTATGCCAAAATATCATTTGTCGAGTGTCTTCATAACATAAGAGCAGTCTTATGATGGTCGTAAAGAGTTGTGAGAGAATAAGGCGCGTGTGAGATCCGCGTCTCTGTCAGCAACTCTTAAAGGGCCAGCATCCAATAATGCTTTCCGTCAGTAAAGTTAATCAAAGAACAAAGGGAACAGAGAAAAACACTCAGTGCTCTTGACCAAAGAACTTGTGTAGCTTTAAATAGGATTTTAGTCCATATAATTTATGCAGTGCAGACTGTTTGATAACTTTATTCAATTTCTGTATATGTCCTACCTGTTAGACAGGAAGAGCACAGGTAAATATGACATTTATTATGGGTTTATGTGAGGATTGTTTGAAGTTCACTTAAATTAAAATTAAATAAATTTAATCCAGACATCAATGGCTTATTGATCATTATAGGTGTTATCAATCATTTAGTTGTTGTTGCTAGTTTGAGTTGAGAAATACACATTTCAGAATTATCACTAATCTGTGTGTGCATTTTGCTTTAGAACCAAGCAAAATGACTCATGAAACCATTTGTTTATTATATCGCTATCGCAAAATTGACCTCAATAATCGCAATATGACATTTTCCCCAAATCGTGCAGCCCTATTGTAGTTTACTGTTTTGTGTTACTTTTCTTAGTTGACTGTGGTAGACCGTTTAATAGGGCTAGAAGGGATGAATTCTACTGAATTAAATGTGAACCTTGGAGTTTATTTAGTTTTTTTCCTCCATTTTTGTCAACTCAATATTATAAAACGAATGTCCTTTAAGCGGACTACAATCATTACACACAGACTTCTGTATTAAAGCAAGGCAGATTTTTTTATTTTTTTTATATTAAAAATAGGAACAAAGAAGCAAATTACAAACAAATACTACATGAAAAAATATACACAGTTTTTCAGGTACAGTACCATAGGTTTATTTAACTGCCCTACTACTACCGAAATTGAATAATCAAATGTAGAAATAAAACACTATCTACAATTGTCGCTGTATAAATTAAATATAAATTGAAGATAAAAAAAGGATTTTTGAAATTTGTGAATCGATACAATCGGTAGAAGATAGAATCGCGATTCATATATGAATCTATTTTTTTTGTTCATTTCTCTGTCATTCTTAATTCAGAATAAAAAGTGAATTTAATAAAAATCAGGTGAATCAGGTTATACAGGTGAAACTCGAAAAATGAGAATATCATGCAAAAGTTCATTTATTTCAGTAATTCAACTTAAAGGGTTAAACTAATATATTATGTAGACTCATTACATGCAAAGTGAGATATTTCAAGCCTTTATTTGTTATAGTTTTGATGAGTATGACTTACAGCTTGGTTTTCATAAGCTATAAGCCATAATCATCAAAATTATAACTAATAAAGGCTTGAAATATCTCTGCATGTAATGAGTCTATATAATATATTAGTTTAACCCTTTAAGTTGAATTACTGAAATAAATGAACATTTGCATGATATTCTAATTTTTCGAGTTTCACCTGTATGTTAATCACAGGTTGATATGGTCACAAAAGTTGGTTTATGCAGTAAACTTGTGTCCAAGAGAAAAGGAAGTGCCTGTTTTATGTCAGAATTTGCAGGTATGAGTAAAACAAGAAATAATCTGTTTCATGAACGTGAATCTTCTGTGTGTGTTCTGTAGCAAAGGACAAATACACAATCACAGTTCAGTCCATTACAGTGGTTTAGGTCAGGGCTCTGAGGTTCAAGTGAGTATTATGCATTTTTATAATCATGGTAAGAATATCACTTGACAATAAAACCTTTTACATCGTAGAAGGGTTTCCATAAAGCCCTGGCTCTTGTAGGAGCCGAATTCCAGGACCGTTTGGACTTCTACACGAACGCCTGGCTCCCGGCGAGAGAGGTCGTGCAACAAGCTGTCCAGGCGAGATACCAGGTGATTAATATCTGTGTTTTCAAGCTGGATTCACTGACGCACGACTGCACTCGAGTGTCTGGCTCGCCTGTACTGTCAGAGCATTGCATGATGAAAGATCATTTTCATCATTTCCTCCTTTCCAGAAACCATTTTGTCGCAAATTTGTCGCTCAACCACGTTGGTTAATGATGTCACGCAGGTGTTGGAGTAATTACTACTTTTAATGAATCTGTTTGAGATCAAATAATGATAGATGTTTTGCTATAAATTACGGACACAGCATCTGACGACTAATTCGAATTTTGCTTTATTTCCAGATTCAATCATAGATTCTTAGACACTAGAGCTCGTTCACACATGCGCACTCTTCAAACACGACACTTTAAATCTCTTGACAAACTCAAAGACCTAAAGGACATTAGTATGTATTATAAATAAAGACACGGGTTGCACTGAATGTCAGCTTGCTTATTTTGCTCAAGATCAGGATTTATTGAGTCCACATGTCATGCAAACTGGAAACTCTGCTTCTAACCACAGCTCGAGATCTGTCGCTCAAACACACAACTCTGCGATGCTGTTTGCGAATGTTCGTTGTAACGATGGTTTCGGGAAACACCGACTCGTTGAACTGCTGATAGCCAGTTGGCTAACGAAGCTTTCGGGAAACGCACCTCAGCTCAACAGTCCTTCTAATGTGTTCAAATAAATCAACTACCCAACAGACTCAAAGTTTATGACCCAAACCCAGAATTAGAAAGTAATTGTCATGAGCGGTGTTGTTCCCGTAGGTGGATCCGAGCGGGGAGATCGTGTTGCTGGCTCAGGGTGGCTGTCCCTGGAAAGAGCATCTGTTTTCCCTGGAGAAGGAGATGAAGGTGGACGTGCCCGTTAAATTTGTGCTGTACACGGATCAGAACGAACACTGGAGAATCCAGTGTGTCCCGGCCGGACTGAACACCTTCCAGAACAGGTCTGGCTTTTCCTGACGTCTTCATGTTGAGACTCAGCTTCTGTTGCCTTGTTTTTCAAGAGTGACGTGAGGCTGAATAATGTGAAATAACTGAAGGCCTCATGGCTGCCTTATTGCGTTCACTGTTACTGGTTATAAATTCATTGAAATATGTATTTGCATTGATTGTGTAGGGATGCACCGATATGAACACTTTGGCCGATACCGATATTGCCGATATTAGTGCTGGTCGGTATACCGGTTCATACCGAATACCGGTGTTTATTTTTGTTATGATATGAATTTTTAATATTCCACAATACCGGAGTTTATCGCTTAAACAACGTTAGGAACGCGGTTCGACACTGTTGCACTGTGGTGATGCACAGCTGTGTGTGTTACCAGAGAATGTCTAATATGGGGAGAACTTCCACTCTCAGGGAACCTCCGGCTTCTGAACTGGTTGCAGTTCCACTCTGGTTCCATATGAGGGCGCTCACAGGACGAGTGCAGAATGAATGGATGTCTATGGAGATATACCCCTCAAAATCCACTTCTCAGGATATAGTTTTTTGTCTAGTAATTTGAATGTTGTATTCGAAACGAGATGCAAAGAAATTACACATTGTTGGGTGTTAGATTTTTTAGAGTCACTTGTTTGCTTTAAAAAGTCTTTTAAAATGTCAATGACGTCATACACATCGTACGACCAGAGATACTTCTTAACGGCAATCTTTCAGTCACTTTGGTGCGTTCGCGCTCTGCGCTTTCTTTTCTCTCGAGACAGCTGATACAGGTAAATACACGTGCTAGAAGAGTTTTTGTAAAACTAAAGTTCTTAACATTCTGGTCCGTAATCAGTCCTTCACTGACCAACCAGCGTTCATTAGCAGAATGCTAGCGTGTTATGGGCAACAACAACTCAACCTGTAAGAAATCGAAAGGACATAAGCACTCGTTCATTCAACTTTCGACCTATAACCCATGTTGAACTTGCAAAACCTACAATCAAATCTGAGATTTCTCAACGCCAATCGGGTGAAAGAGACAACTTTAGCCGTCTAGCTCCATAGACTCCCATTCATTTTGCACTCGGGCGATCGCCCCCAGTGGAACTCTGGTGGAACTACAACCAAAATTCGGTACAATAGGGCTTAATAGGGAGTGGCCAGGCTCTCCGTAGACGGGCTCTGGTGTTACTGAGCGTGACGGTGAAGATGGAGAGGTTAAACAATAATTGAAAGCTGTCAAATTATATTAGTGTTTCCCATACATTGGTTCACGATATCAACACAGCCTTTTGGAAAATCTATTAGTGGTTGGCATTGACATCTTTGAATAAACATGAGCACTGCACGTTTCACAGTCAAAACGCGGTGCGGGTGTTTTTTTATATGAATGTATCTCAAGTGAACTGAACTGAACTGAACTGAACTGAAGTGAAAGTCTTTAGAAAAGTTGTTATTTTGATTGAATCTTTCTTTATCTTTTCCTGATAAAGCAGCGTTTATGAGCCGTTACCGGGGAAACCGCTGTTTCTGCCGCTCCTAAAGCGCCTCCTGCTGGAACCTGTTTGAACAGCCTTGCAAACCTTTGTTAATACTATTGTGTATTTTTTTTCTACAATATGTGAATATTGATCATGACGGTAAAATAGGGTATTCATAAGTCAATCTACTGCAGTATTTCCTCTCTCCCTCAGTAGAAAATGTGGTTAACACCCAGTCATTTTTGAGAAAAATAATAATACCGCCATATACCGTGAAACCGGTATAATTTAAAAAAATACCGTGATATGGATTTTTGGTCATACCACCCAGCACTAGCCGATATATTGGCCGATAATCTAAATCCAAATTTTTGTATAATTTGAGCCTGATTACAAAAACAAGTCTCATCAAAAGCCATGACCCAAAGACAATTATAATGTTCTCATTGTAATTTAATGTACCCTATATTAACTATTAACTGTTGCACTTATTATTTTCCTTTTTTTTTAAAAGTGATTCCAATCATATTTCAAGCAATTCAAAGCCGAATGAAATAATCCGTTATTTATCAGCTTTAATATATCTGCCAAATTTTCGTATTGGGCCGATAACGATAACATTTAAAATGAACATATATCGATAGATACCGATATGTCGCGCATTACTAATTGATTGTAAGTTTCCGCTGATGATGTGTTGTGTCTCTAGGTTGAGTATTTTGGAGGAATGGCGAGGTGTCCGGGACGAAGCGCTGTCCAAACTCAGTGGTATTCCTGGATGCATCTTCGTCCATGCCGGTGGTTTCATTGGAGGGAACAAGACGAAGGAGGGCGTTCTGGAAATGGCCAAAAGAACGCTTCAAACGGCACCCAAACCTTTACACAACAACTGACACACACCTGTAATTCACCTTCACGTCACACAGCTCTCATGAAAACCAATAAATGCAAAACTGTATTTAATTTCTTGTTTGTATTCACTATGAAAAAAATGGTGGATTATTCACAATATATATTATTTCTGCATCCTGTTGGAGAAAATTAATTTCACATGAGGATCAGTGAAAAACAGCAGCCTAGACATTTACAGTGATCTGCGTAACCGTTTACAGATGATGAAAATACTGACCTTGTTCTTGGCCTAATAAATGAACCGTTTGGTGGTCAGACAGAAGTTGGAAGGGGATATTTGTTTTTCCAATGACCCTACAAATTACATTAAACCATCAAAATATGCGGAAAATATGTTGTTGTTTTTTTAAATATAAGGGAAGAATGAAACACTAAACTTGGTTAAGGTATTTGTCAGGCAAAATGATTTGGCAAAAAAGGCAAACAACAGTTACAGGTTTTATTTTACTATGCAAAAAAAAACCCATAGAAAAACAAAAAGCTCACAGAAAAAGCATACATTGACTACAGCATAATCAGTTTTTCATATTTAACTAGTTATTTGGTCTCTGCACATGTGTTCATAATTTCTTTGTATGAAAGCCTGGCCCAAACAAGACATTTGACTTTTAGCACAACTATGCAAAATGATTACATTTTGCATAACTGAATAAAGGGTAAAGATGTCCATTTTTCCTAGGCTGGACATCACTTTGGCCAATACTGTAATAATTGACCATCTTTACTCCTTGCTGTGCTTAAACTGAAACCTCAAAGGCTGATTTATGTGTAACTAAAAAGTACTCTTAAACTTTAAACATATAGCGTTTGTGCTGGGTTGAACCAGACTGCTCAATTTTTACTGTGTCCTGGTTTTGTTTTTTGGCAAACGTGTACTTTTTCTGTCACTTCTAAGTGTCAGACATGCATTTCCTGAAGTGATTCCTGGGGCCTCGTTCAAATCAAACTTAAGCACACACGGAATTGAACTTAAGGTCGTTTCCACGACACAGAATACAGCCTTTTTTGTCTTTTTCATGGATCAGTGTGAAGTGAACGGGGTTCGTTTTGACAATGTTGTCTTCTGTGTTTTTAGTACAACGTTGTCGTGTAAACGTACCCTACATTTACTGTTTAGTAGTGTAAAATCGGTAGCCTACTGCTGGTGCATAATCCGCTTTTCCTCAACTTGTCCTTGTGGCAGAGACTCCGAGAGCGGGCATTTGGAAATCTAAACTATTCTGCCGCTCGCTGTTCTCAGGTAAAGCCTTTGGACTGGTGATGACAATGGCATTTATCTGAAACCATGCATTCATTCAGCTGCGCACAATTTCAAGATCATTTGCGATTTACAGACATCTATGGAAACTTGTTTAAAAAATAAAAAAGGTAATTGCGAGATGTAAACTCAAAATTACCAGATAAAAAGTCATAATTGTGAGATAAAAAGTCGCAAAACACTTTCTATTTTATTTATTTATTTCAGTGGCGGAAACAAGCAGACATTTCTCTTCTGGAAGACAAGTGGAAAACGTTCTCTGAATCACACGTATTGGAGAAATCGTAAGATCAAATGTTATACGGTTTCTTCAACATTTTATAAATGAGGCCCATTTGATGTGTGGATGGAAGTTCTGGTTTCCTTTAGCACTGCCTGAGCGCCATGTTTTTCTCATTTGTTCCAGGTAGGCTACGATGAAGGTAAGCCTCAGTGACTACAGCAGCCGTGATGTTTTCATCTTTGTTGTTTCTGTGAAGTAAGGGTGGTATATTTACAGGGGGTTGTTGCTCAAACTTGCAGTGACGTAGGCCTACTGTACTGCAGATCACCTGTGTTTCTTCTTTATGATGGCCACGATGTGACACACACACAACACAACACACACACATACACACGTGTCTATTACTGTAATGTCACTTTCAGCTGCTCTTCAAAGAAACTCCAGAAGGTGTCAGGATTTATCTACTATACTGTATCAATAAGTCTGCAAGTAAGTCCAGCAAGTCTTCATGTGTCCAGTTCCTCTGTGCTCTTCTGGATTGTTTTCCCGGATGTCATTGAGGTTAAAGGGTTAAAAATAAATGAACAAATAAATATGACCATTATAGCCTCACCCAGGTTGGGGTCAGACCAGATCATCTCTGGTAAATGTGACAGTATGTGCCCTTATTTAATTGTGGCCTAGGCTACTCACATTTGATATTATTATTTGCTTGTAAGTCGATCTCCCGCATCACACTGGACCAAACAGCCGCTGTCACAAGCTCTTTTCTGACCCCAAACAGAAATAAAGTGTTACCCATTGTTTTCAAACTTAACTCTTTCCCTACCACTGACTACATTTTCCAGCAATGCATGTTTTCACTGTTATACGGTACGGGGACACCACATCTTCTGAAGGAGTTCAGAATCTCCTGATCAAAACACATGCGAAGAATAAGAAATTGATAAGAAAATGAATGCATGAAACTAGAATAAAACAGTTTTTTTGTCGTTTAAAAGCAGAAACTTTGTTCTTTCTTTTGATAAGTTGCATGTTCAGATATTCAAACAACAAAATATTCTGGGGGCCATGACATTTTTGTAAAAATAATCAAAACTGCTGCTGGTGGCTTGCACCGAGAGCCGCTGACCTGCATAAATCCATTTATGACATTACTTTTCACTCTAATATCCTCACTGAATCACAAAGCCATGCCGTAAGAAAAACCATAGAAGATATACCATCATTATTCTATTTATTTCATAGAAACGATTTCTATCTGTTATTGCTACGGTAAAAAGTCATAGAAAAACAGCACAAATGTACAAGTTGAAATTTACTTTACATAAATACACTAACCAGACTGACAGATCCTACTCTGTGCTACTGCACACTGTATTATTTGTACACATTATCTGAAATATGAATCACCGTCATAATGAACTATTTAACTTAAGCTGTGATGCTATATTTTTTCTTTATTTTCAAAAAAAAAAAAAAAAACAGACAAAATAGATCAACCCACCTATGTAACCCATACTATATAACCGAACAAAGATGTACTATCCTTTTATTTTAGCAAAAACAGCAACTTAAAGCACCACAACGCACATACTGTAAGCAAGATGGGTTGATGCGCTTGAGTAGCTCTTACCCTATATCTAAGAGTGCATCTAAAACCAAAGGAAGAAAAAAAGTTGTACATTTCTAACATTTGCATTCATTAAAACCATAACACAAGAAAATAAAAGCAATAATAAGACAGCTCTTAGCTTTTCCACTATCACATACTGTATATAGGTTTTCAAAGGACAGGAGACCGGTTGAAGGTCATTTTATCAAATGTGCTTGGGGCCGATCGACAAAGTGATATTGAGTCGGATGGAGGAGGTAAAAGAACTGAATTTATCTTTTAATAACTAATGATCTTTCCAAACGGAAGTGAATCAATCAAAGCTAACTTTAGCTGGACAATAACTTTATTCTACATCAACTGTAAAGCCTAAACTCTGTTACTGTAATCTCCTGTTATCACTGTAAAGCTGCTTTGAAACAATCGATATTGTTAAAAGCGCTGTTTAAATGAAGGTGACTTGACTTGACTTTGGATTCTAGCTTAATGCTGACTTTACAAAATAGTAAGGCATTACTTTTTCTGTAATTGTTCTGTCCAGCATGAGGTAGCTTAAAAATAAAATTCAAACCTGGGCTACAGACCACTTATGTGAAAGGTCTCCTATAGTACATTTAATACTGAAGTGAGAAGACTGTAGAAAGAAAGCCTAACTTCAGCGTGCGCGCACAAATACACAAACGAACAAATGTCTATTATATATCTGGTCGTTGGAAAAATGCAGGGTGTTTAATAAGATTAGCACCATTGATTATGTTTTAATGCACAGCAATTTACATACACTGTGGCGACAAAAAGACGAACACTTGCATGTGGTTGTCAAAGTTCAGGCTGTTGTAAAATCATAGAATAATCGTAGATGAAAATGCTAACATTCTACACTGATGTACAACACTTCATCCAAATGCACGGGAGGGGGGGTGTAGCACCTTAACAATAAATAAATAAAACCAAGACACACTTCTACTTCTGTCATTTTCGCTGGCATACTCCCTTATGTACCGTTGGGTTGGATTGTGAGATTTTCCCAGAGGGCCGAGGGTTGAGATGGGAGATTGTCTGCCGGTCAGTCACAGATGAACTGCTAGTGCCTATCAGTGCATATCCTAAAAAAAAAAAATCTTTCGGAAGCACTTTTCCATCTAGTCATAAAAAGATGTCCCACTTATAAAAATGTCTAGTTCTTTAGTTCCTCTCTTTCTTTGTTCCTCACTCTCGAGTGTGTGTGTTGTCTCTCTCGTTCGTTCTGTATCCAGGTTTCATCTTTACAAGAAACAGACGGCGCCCACGTCCACTCCAAACTCCTGATTTGCTCCTCCAATATCCATAGGTGCAATGTCTACAATGGGTAGGCGCGAAGTCTTCTGTGATTTGTACTCGATGACCGTCTTGCTCCATTGTCCTGTGTGTTTCTGTAGGGACAAAAGACCTCAACTGTAAAGGGACTGTTTTCATTCCAAAGCAAAAACGCATTGTGTGTGAATGGCCTCAAAGAAAACGCAAGATAAACCTTCTCACATTTTAGTTGCCATTTAATACATCAGATCTCTGTTTGAGAATGTGTCTCTCTTCTTGTACAATGATCCCGTCACACCTGGTATTAAGATGCGTTTTGGACGATCGGATCACAAGTGGACGACGCTAAATACAGGTGTAAATGGGGTCTGAAAAGTTTTGAGCTTGTCCACTTTTGACCACTTCCAGAGGTAGTCGAAAACGCATTCGATCGGATTGCTTTCGTAGTGTAAACACTCATGTGGTCGAATGTGTTCCAACGGCCACAATAGACGCTACTCTCCGCCTACTGACCTAATGTGTAAACACTACAGGAAGCGGACAAGCCAGACGGGATTTGAACTTTGTCGGCTGAAGATGCAAGTTTGGTTTGAAGACGACAAACGTACCAAGCACAATGTCAGAGCAGAAACGAAAGCTGATGCTCTCCGTACGCCGCGTTTATATGTAAATTGCACAAGCTTATTTTGTCCATTAGATCGAAAGATCTGAAAAAACACATTTACCCGCCCATAGACCCTCCCCTTGAAGAAATCAGGACAGAAGCGGTCGAAAGTGGACAAAAGAGACGGATTAAAACACCAGGTGTAAACGGGAATGTGTCTCCCTCGTCTATTTGTGATCCGATCGACCAAAACTCATCTTAATACCAGCTGTAAACAGGGCCATTGTCACTTAATAATAGTCAGTAATTACGTTGATTCAAGTCATTTAAAGGCCGTGACACACCAAGCTGACGTCAAAGAACTAGTGGTGATAAAACTGACTGTGTTGTCGCCTCGCGTCACCTGCGTCTCAGTTAAAAGCTGCGCTTGAACACACCAAAAGGATTAAAGGCAACTGTCAACTAATGTGCGTTATACGCCTCTGTGTAATGAAATAACTGTCTGTATCAGCAGGTATCAATAGTCCATATTCTGCATTCAAAACTAGAACAGCGTATATATAAACCGAATTGAATATCAATCACGCCGATCGCTTTCATCATTCCGGTGGCTCATGTTGTTATGAAAATATTCGAGCATTGAAAGATAAGCTCAGGTAAGATGACGTAAAACTAGAACAGCTTTCTGTACCGTCTTGACTTCTTTGTTTGCTTTCATCACTTTCGCTTTTATAATCGTGCATTGACTTGTTCGCCATGCCGAACAGCAAATCAGATTTCCCTCACCGACAAGGCCAACAGATGCTGATTCAACATCCTTAATCGGCCAAAATATCCCCCGACGGGGTCTGACTAGTGCCGACAGTGCAGAAAACTGGGATGACTGACACTTAACAACGGCCCAACCTTGGTGTGTCAGGGCCTTAAGCGTCAAGCACACCAATACTCCCTGAGTTTGTGTATCACACTGCAATGATAGCACAACCAGTGAGGACAACAACACGAAGGCCCTGTTTACAGCCGGTATTCAGATGTGTTTTGGTTAATCCGATCACAAGTGGACGGCGCTAGATACAGGGTAAACAGAGTCTAAAACGTTTTGAGCTTGTCCACTTTTGACCACTTCCAGAGGTAGTCAAAACGGATTTCTTTCATAGTGTAAAAGCTCATGTGGTCGAATGTGCTCGAACAGCCACAACTCATTTACTTGTGATCCAATCGACCAAAACGCAACTTAATACCAGGTGTAAACAACAGGGCCTAAGGTGCGATGTCTACTTACTCCCTTTGTATCATTTTGCATCAACTTTTACAGGTTACATTCAATTCCGGAATTTTCTTTAAATTCTTGATTCCCCGGCCTATTCAAAAGAGGTCAAAAGCGATTCCTCACCTTGCAACCATCCTCAAGAACACTGTATGTGAAGCGACTGTTGCCCTCCGCTCGGATTTCCACATCATTGGATCCCTGGAGCAGTAGAGCTTTCTTCAGGTTTCCAGTGGCCTCGTCCATATAGGCAATGCTGTTCTTGCAGTGGTATGTGAGGTTCTGCGAGGCCTCTGTGGACAGCAGTCTCAGGAACGTCATCTGAATACTTGCTGTATTAGGTGCCAGATTGTCGTCTCCATAGCCAAACTGTGGCAGTGAAAAAGAAAAGAGAGTCCATTAGCCAGAGATCATCTAAATCCTAAAGAATTGTTCTGAAAATGGTCCTCAAGAAACTCACATTGAATCCACCATTCATGGCTTCTCCAAACCAAACATGTTTGCGTTCAGAACCCTTGGTAGTCCACCAGTTCTTGCGTGGGATGTTGGCGGGTTTTGGATAGACGCAAGTCTCACCGGTCTCCATGTTGCAGAACACCTTGATAGCATCAACGGTGCAGCCCTGGTTAGGATCAATCCAGTATTCACCTAAAGAGAGAGTAAACTTTCTTAATACCACACATTTTACCTATAGTCCTCCCACATGAACTCCACTGTTAGGCCGCATTTACATCTTTTAAAAGTGACCCATATCTGATATATTTTATAATAATGATATCTATCATTTACACTACACTTGGCGAAACGAACAAAAAATTAACATTATGATATCAATAAATCAATTTCAGTAGTACACACGTCTAATTTATAGACATGGAATTCATAGAAACATTTTTAATGCAATAGTTTAATCCTTATCAAAATCATTATATAGTACAAATTCTTCAAGACAGTGATTGTTCACAGATCCACTATACAAGTTAGTGTGTACTAACGGTCCCGTGGTAGAACGTTATGGGAGGTTATGGGTTCCAATCTCTCCTTGTATAGGTTATTTTTCCTCATTAAAACCAAATGTGTTCATCAGAGATTGTACATCAAGAGCAGGGACATGTTTGTTTTCATTTGATTTTGTGATTTCACTGGAACGAATAGAGAGTCTCCACAACGGGACTGAAGCACGAGCCGTCGGGCACTCTGGATGATTTCAAACGCAACACATTTCAGCGCTAGATCGCCTCTGATTTAACACAAACGAACGAAATTAATACTCTGCTAGTCAACTAGAGATGTTTTATTTGTTATAGATATATCTGTTCTGCGAAATGTTTCAAAAAGTCACTTTTTTCAATGACGTACGACTCGCATTGACAGGGGAATATACGATCTGTCCGATTACACGGCAGACACAAATGCACATGCAGATTTATTTCCACATATGAACGAGGCCTGAAACTGATCTGAGAATATCGTGATCCATGAACTTTTTTCCTGCTTACACGTTTGTGGGTCATATCCGATCTGTGCCACATGGGAGGGACAAAATCGGAATTGGGTCACTTGAATCATATAGTGTAAAACCGGCCTTAGTGTTTGGCGTTAACCACACATGCTCTAACTGACGCAAACTCACCGCTCTTCCAGTCTGGGTGGCAGAGCTTCAGGTCTCTGCAGGTCCGGGCCGGGCTCTTTTTAGTCCCGTCCGGGCTACGAATGTCCTCAACCTGGTTGTTCAGGGATTTCAGAGTGGCGTCCACCTCTGCATCGTGCTGATGGTTGCCTTCAGCGGCCTGGTCTGCCCTCATGTACCTCAAGGGATCAGGACCCTTTTCAGGGTGAGACAGACCAGCAAACGCAGACATGTCGATGCCAGGTCCCGGTGGGCCAGGAAGACCGGGGGGTCCAGGATTTCCAGGGGGGCCCTTTGGAGAAGCATTGTATTTTACTGACAATTATTTACTATTATGTGACCTTCATTATAAGCAGACTTTTTATCAGAATATTTAAAGTGCCCCTGTTATGCTTTTTTGGATATTCCCTTTCATGTGGTGTGTAATAGAGCTGTTTGTGAATGTAAAAGGTCTGGAAGGTTTCAAGGTGCAGATAAATTGAGTTTTTGTCTCCTGAAAGAAGGAAGTGATTCTGAACTGAAGCGAGTCATAGGTATTTCCAGTCTCACTTCCTGCTGAATATGCGTAGGTTTGTAACAGATTTGCATAATGCCAGTCTATGTTCTTCATCGGCTGCCGTGAACAACGTCTACTTTGACCCTCAAACACTGTAGTTGTATCTGAGACTGGAAGAGTTTGGCTCGTGTTGTTCATGTGGAGAAGACGCTGTTTTCTGCTGACAAAGCAAATCCATTTTGATGAGATTGAAACGGTAAAACACACGCCATCGTTACTGTTCGTATCACTGTGTATCAAGTGCTGAGATTCAGATATGCTAATGAGCTTTTGGTTTCTGACATGGCTGCCCAATCACAAAAGACTGGCCCATCTGAGCAATCAGAGCAGAGCAGCTCTCAGAGAGGCGGGGTTTAGAGAGACTGAATCCTTGAACGAAGCATTTCAGACACTGAGAGAAAACAGCTGATGCTGCAGCGGATATTATGAGAAAATTTTCTTTTTACCTTGGATGAATGTAATGTAAACCTATTTTAAGAGAAGCCAATACCTGTAAACGAGCATAATAGGGGCATTTAAAGACCAGCATTTCCCAACTATGGTCCTGGAATATTCCCAACAGCAAACATTTTGGGAGTACCTCATATCTAGTCTTTACTAACTGACTGACCAGTTGAATCAGGTGTTTTTAAGTAGGGTGGCAACCCAAGTGTAAAGTGTTGGATACTCCAGGAAGGTTGGGAACCAATGTGTAAATCTAGTGTTCGCTTCGGTACTCACGGATGGCCCAGTCTCTCCAGAACGACCACGAGGTCCGGGGGGTCCAATAGGTCCAGGCAAACCATTTGATCCATCTTTTCCAGCTGGACCAACAGGGCCTGGCGGTCCCTGGAAGGAGAAGGAAAGTCTGAGTCTCAGCACAGCGTCACCAGTTTGCATAGTCCAAATGTTTCTAATCCTGATCCTGCTGATCTCCAGAGTTTAGTTCCAGCCTCCTCCAACACACTTGCCTGTAGTTTTCAAGACCTTGATCCGTTGGTTCAGGTGTGTTTGAGGTTGGAGCTGAACTCTGGGTACATGTTATATTCCCTTATTAAAAGAAGATATATTTCCCTATATATGAATGATCAATACACTAAATGGTTTAACAGTATTTTGAAAATATACAAAATAATGTATTGTGTCAATATATTACAATATATTGAATAATACATAAGGAATTGCCACTTTTCATTTATTGAAAAATACATGACAATATATTTACTAATATATCATAATGTATGTAATTTTATATTCAGTAATACACTTCATAATATATAGATGTATATTTGATCAGATATGGTACTGCATGTGTAATATATTGCAGATATATTTACTCATGCAGCATAAACACATATATAAAGAAATATATAAATGTTACATATTTTCAAGCTAGTTGAGATAAGCACTAGCACACCTGCATGTACTAAAGTATATATTTTGCCGTATATTCCCATATATTTTTGTTCCTGGATATTAAAGTATATATTTTGCAGTATATTCCCATATATCTTTGTTCCGTAAGGGTTCCTGGATATTAAAGTATATATTTTGCAGTATATTCCCATATATCTTTGTTCCGTAAGGGTTCCTGGATATTAAAGTATATATTTTGCAGTATATTCCCATATATTTTTGTTCCGTAAGGGTTCCTGGGTACATACTCTTGCTCCACCGGGTCCAGAAGGTCCAGAAGCACCTTGGTCACCAGGTTGACCCTGTGTGTGGATTGTACAAATGTCTTTGAGTTATCGTATCACATCTAACCACAGTATTTGTATGCAGAATGCTTTAGTTCAAATGTCACAAATAAATAGCAACTTACAGGAGGCCCAGGCAGACCTTGAAGACCGGTGAAGCCTCTGTGTCCTTTCTGTCCTCTCTCACCTGAATCTCCACCTTCTCCCTTATCTCCACGCGGCCCTTGTGGTCCCTGTGATTAATGGACATGGGCATTGCAACTGCATTGAATTTTATGCATACATTGCCGACTGAAAGCAGAAGTTGAGTTTCAGCACTTTTTATAACTGGCGCAAAATAAATAAAGCAAGGAAAAGTCCAAAGTGTTATTAACGTGTGACAAGAAAAGTACTTACAGGCATTCCCCGAGCTCCAGCGGGCCCCGGAGGTCCAGAAGGTCCTTTAGGTCCCTGCAGTTAAATGTAATTAGTAAAAATCATATTTTTAAAGTCATAAATCCTTTTTTTTTCCTCTTATTATTTTCCAGCACTGCACTGGACAGTGCAAGCCCTATGCTTTACACCCTTTTAGTATGTATTAACGGCAGCTTTAAAGTCCCCCTGTAGTGAAGATCCATGTTTATATGTCTATGTGGTGTTTTTAATACGCTTTAAGACACAACATGTGTAAATTCATAAGTCGACAGCATTGCTGAGTATTTTCTCCTTAAAACTGCAGTGAACCAAAGACAGTCTCAAAAACACGTTTTTTTTAAAGAGAAAAACGCTTAAATATGTAATTTTGGTGATCAAAGATGGGTTTTAAGAGATACAATTATTGACTACAGGAGGACTTTAAGTGCATTAAACCTCATACACATTCCAGCCAGTTGAGAAAAAATACATGGGTATCGGTACTGAACAGAATTTCAAGGTCGACTCTTAAACTAGTACACAAAATCGCTGATATATTTGGCGTAGAAAATTCTAGCCTGTTAACTGGTTTAATCAAGGTATATATTTTTTAAAAATTATAATTTTATTAATTTCAAGCTGAGAACATTTAACAAAATGCCACCCTCTTATGTATTAGCGTACATTGCTGGTAAAAAGCTATTTCAGGGCTAATTTTGTACGTATCAGATATCAGTCAATCCTTTGAATTGTACTCTTCAATAAAACAAACCCTTTTCTCGACACAATGTTCCAGACTAATAAGCTAATGTTTGGACATTTCTTCAACACAAATAAAAGAGCTCTAGGAATCTGTACTTACAGCCTCTCCTCGGTCTCCCTGTTTCCCAGTGGGTCCGACTGGACCAGGAGCACCAGAACCACCCGGAGCACCAGAAGCCCCAGCTGGACCAGTGTCACCTCGGTCACCCTGAGCAGAACATCCACAGCCAGTCACAAAGCCTAACTCACACCATAAAACACTCTGTGATGCATGAACATTATATCTCACACCTTTATTCCTGCAGAACCATCTCGGCCAGGAGGACCATCAGATCCAGGGTTGCCCTGAAAAACAATATATCATATTAAACTCATCGTGAGCTCTGGTACAGTATGTATTATTTATGCTATCAACACAATCAATGCATTTGCCTAATCTCAATTTGTTGTTTTCTTTCAGTAAAGAAAAATAATCTTCAATAAACTGAACAAATTTGTGAGAGAGTACAATATAAACTGGGAAAATTGATGATACAAAATCAATGACGGTTATAGAGGATGCTCTGAGATCCATGTGGATCTACTGTGCAATACATAGACAAGCCTTGACTGGCAAAAGATGCCACATATTCTTCGACATGTCCTTGACGATGTTGGGAAACTGATTAACCTCCTCAAAAGTATTCATATTTTTCAGTCATGTGACCAACACGGAGACCTGGAGGGCAAAACATCCAGAGAACTGCAGCACAGGCCTGTCAATCACGTAAAAACTGGCTCTTAATGGTGTTTTTTTCAACATTTTATGTGAAGAATTGGGAGCGCATTACAAACAGTAGCTTTTGTGCACTTATTTGTACTGTTTAAAGTGCAATATAAAATATTTTTTTCCCGCTGTGGCAGCAAGTGTAGATGATGCAAACAGAACTGCAATTCAGAACTCGGCCACTTGATCTGGTGTAAAATAACTGGTACTGTTGGTCATGTCCCAAATAATCATGTAACTCTTTCTGTTGGTTTCTAATTTCAGAAACCGATCAATAAGATCAGAGACTGAAGCATAATTCTTAGCAGTTTTTACATTCAAATCTGCTACCATCTTCACTAAATCAAAGTCGTTGAAATATTTTCTAGATAAAATTATATCAGCCTCTTCATCTGAAAAATATAATTCAGGTGCGGCCTCAACAGTGTGAGATCCCAAAAAGTTTGCATATTTTCCCTGGTTTATTTTATTAGTTGATTTTAATGGTGGTGTCACCAGGGTTGTTTATTTTACTGGTTGATTTTAAGGGTTGTACCGTAGTAAATCAGCAGGGTTGTACCGTAGTAAATCCCCAGAGTTGTACCGTAGTAAATCAGCAGGGTTTTACCGTAGTAAATCCCCAGAGTTGTATCGTAGTAAATCAGCAGGGTTGTACCGTAGTAAATCCCCAGAGTTGTACCGTAGTAAATCAGCAAGGTTGTACCGTAGTAAATCCCCAGGGTTGTACCGTAGTAAATCCCCAGGGTTGTACCGTAGTAAATCCCCAGAGTTGTACCGTAGTAAATCCCCAGGGTTGTACCGTAGTAAAACCCCAGGGTTGTACCGTAGTAAATCCCCAGGGTTGTACCGTAGTAAAACCCCAGGGTTGTACCGTAGTAAATCCCCAGGGTTGTACCGTAGTAAAACCCCAGGGTTGTACCGTAGTAAATCCCCAGGGTTGTACCGTAGTAAATCCCCAGGGTTGCAGCGTAGTAAATCCCCAGGGTTGCACCGTAGTAAATCCCCAGGGTTGTACCGTACCTCTCTCCCGGGTTCTCCAGCGGCTCCGGTCAGTCCCGGTGATCCTACGGGTCCAGGCGGCCCACGGTCTCCAGATCCACCAGGAGCTCCTTGTTTCCCAGGCTCACCCTGTGATGGCCATTCATAAATGCAATTTAGTTACTTTTACCCATGTTAGCTTTGCATTTGCCCATATAACATTTGTCCTCTGATATTTATTAATTCTATCCCTGCAATTGCAGAATTTTCCATCATTTATGGCGCAATGCTTCCCTGCCATTTAAATTTTTTGGCAATCCGTGTTTTCACTGTTATATGGTAGGGGGCGCTATTACGCATCTTACAGAATCTCCTGATCAAAACACAGGTGAAGAAGAAGCAGAAACAAGTGAAAGATGCATCTCGATCTGTGTTTTGATCATCGGTCTGAATCCAATCTGGACGAAGTCTTTGACAAAAATGCGATTTTCTCAGCCTTTTGTTCATAATGTTGCTTTTTTTATGAATCTTACCCACATTCAAGTGTTGATAAAAAAGAATGCATGAAGCTAGAATAAAATGTTTTTGTTTGTTTGTTTATTTAAATGCAGAGGCTCTGTTCTTTCTTTTGATAGATTGTATGTTTCAGATATTCATACAACATTATATTCTCTTTTGGCATGAAAGTTTCGTGAAAATTATCAAATATTCTGCCGCTTACTGGCAAATTTTTTTTTTAAATGCTGGTGGAGAAAGGGTTAACAGTAAATGGTATTCGAGAAATGACTTGTGTTGTGATTTTTAGTGAAATTGTGAAGACTTGAGACAAAGAAGTGCCATCATATCTTGCAGCTTTGGGGTTTTATAATCTATAATGCATTCACAGGAAAGGCATGGCTTTCATTAGCTGATCATCAAACATGAAAAGCATTCTGATCCTATTATCAGTTGGTCATATTCACTGGAGACGCAACAGCTGGCAAAGTATGATTACATAAAGTCCACCTGAAAGGAAAATCTGATAAAAAGCTTATGACTGACACAGATTCCCCTGTCACTTTTCCATCATAAATGTTGATGTATTTTCATCATTGGGACATTAAATGTCAGTGTGTTTCTCCGGGACTCACAGAGGGTCCAGGAAGGCCCGGGAAACCTCTTTCTCCACGCTGTCCTGGGAGTCCAACAATCCCACGCTGACCAGCCAAACCCTGGGGACCCGACGGCCCATCCGGACCCTGGAACGGGACAGAAATGAAACACACAATCACACATCCAACCTAACAATGAAAGGCTGTGAACTGTATCAAAACGTATATTTCTTATTTTATTGTATGTATTAGTCTTGGTCTAGATTTCCTGTAATGTGTTTATTATTATTATTATTTTTAATTCATTCATTATTTTGTTTTATTTTATATTTATTTTATCAAACCTAAAACTGGGAAAAGTTCTTCTTGAAGCCCCACTAACTGCAGACACACAGGTTTTCTTAAGGACTGAGAATATACAGTCAAACCAAACATTATTCAGACACCAGATATCATTTAAATTTAGTAAAATGTATAAAAATTTGGGACCAAAAATGATTCGGACACTTTGAGCTGATCATGTTTTGCTGAAGTGTTTTTTCTGTAATTGCTAATGCTCTTTTTACACACAGACTGAACAACATGAAGCATTGCTTGGTCACTGGTTGAGCTAAACTGGTATTATCTAATTGTGTAGTTAGATTTAACAGCTGACAGATATTCAACATAATTCATTTGTGAGAGTCTAACAGAAGGACGGACAGTTGATGAGTTCTCATATTTTATTACCATTTTCTGAACTATAGCGAATAAACTGTGATAATGTGAGAAAAGTTAAAGGTGTCTTAATGCATTTGGGTTTGACTGTACTCTCTGTATGGTTTCTCTTGATGTATCAGTGTGTTTGAGGCACAGGAGCTAATAGCTTGTCAAGTGCAAGTTTAATCAAGTCATGGGCGAGTTATTACTGAGGTCAAAGTTGAGCCGAACAGCCACATTTAATGAGATCCAGTAAAGCTACATACGTGAGGACCATCTTCTCCAGGATCTCCCTTCTCACCAGGAGGACCAGACGATCCACGTAACCCAGCGTCTCCGGGTCTTCCAGGAGGACCACCGTCTCCACGAACACCCTTCGGACCATCTTTACCAGGAGGACCAGCAGGACCAGAGGGACCCGGGTTACCCTGAGAACGGACATTAAAGGTGCAGTCTGTAAGAATGACAGCTAGTGGCCGAAAATTGGTACTGCAGTTCAAATCAAAAGTATCAGTTGTTGTAATTTTAGGGTGTATTCACACCAGGAAAGTCCGATAGTTTACTTGCTTTGGTCCGGACCAATTTTTTTTTGTTTGTTTTTTTGTACGGTTCGCTATCACACTGCTCTTTTTGCAAGTGAACCAAAATTTGTAAACAAAACCACACGTGTGCTAAGGTCGTCCATTCATTGGACAAGGATTCTCAAGTAGGGAAATCAGGAAGTGCAAAAAATGCTCAGCATGGAGATATTTCGTACTGCAATATTTGTTATTTTACTAATTTTGTGTTATTCTGTACAAACGCAATATGAAGAAACTGCGCAGAAGACGGATAAGGTATAAAGTTTTCATTCATAGAGAGGGGCTATGTTCACACATTCAAATAATGAGATTCTTATTGTATATACTGCTAACAAGTGCTGTCAATGTTAACGCTTGCGATTAAGTTTGTCCAGTTTAACGCAGCATCATCCTTGTATATCGTTACATTATATGAACTGCAAAAGCTTTTTTTACATCTATGCGCGTTTAGACTAAAGAGAACGCTCTGTATGTGAATGTCCTGATGCACACACTCATTCATTCATTCCATTCCATTCCAATGATACACACACGGCGCGCAGAAAGACGCGCAACAGTATCGTGTGGCCAGACAGCGCGCCGGAATGGAATTCTCTTTCGCACTTGAACAACAATAACACAAACCATTATGCCAAAATCCCCGACTACGGAAGCCTGTTAACTCAAAGGCGCAGTGCTTTCTTGTAATTGGGTCGGTTCATGTTCACACCGTAAACGAACCGTACCAGAGTTCGTTTGGAACCGTACCGAGACCACCTCTTCAGCTGGGTCTCGGTTCGGTTGTTTGGTCCGCACCCGAGTTCGATTGCTGTATTCACACCTGCCCAAAAGGTCCGCACCAAGGGGGGAAACGAACTAGAGTTCGATTCAATCGAACCAAACAAGGCAGGTGTGAATACACCCTAAGTAATTTAATTTAAATTACCGTTAATATAATTTAAGGTAACAGAGATTGGTTTGGTTTTATAGCGGTTCTTGAATAATGTTATTTTCCAGCTAAAGTTAGTTTTGATTGATTCACTTCCGTCGAAATTATCATTTGTTATTAAATTTGGGGCCTGTGTTATTGTTATTAAACGCGAACCTGTGATAAATTGTTTTAATTATAAATTGATCATTTTTTTCTCCGTTTTGGCCTTTCGTCCACACTGAGACAGCGTTTTTATTAATGAAAACAAAGCTTTTTGAAAACGCTGTCCAAAGTGGATACATTTGTAAAACGCTGTTTTCGTGTTGTAGTGTGGACTGTGAAAACGGAGGTATTTAAAAAACGATGACGTAAGTTTAGTCATGTGACACATATTGAACCTATAGATATTCCTGTTTATACCTGTATTGTGCCTGTTATGCGCGATTTATCAGGCGTTTTCCAAAAGTTTCTCATCCGCACTGAAACGAATGAAAAAGCTAGTGTGGACGGAGAGCGTTTCTAAACCAAAGCGCCGTTTTCAAATGTATCCGGATTAATGTAGACGTAGCCCAAATGTTGTACACTACACTTTTTTTATGCCATAGTGAATAGATCCATTGATTTACTTACATTAGGACCAGGAGGGCCGACTCTTCCTGCGGCTCCAGGGAAACCTGTGGCACCCTGCAAAAATCATTAACAAAATTAGATTCATGATCTACATTGACAAAGATTATCCTTTGGTTTGCACTTACAGGAGGTCCTTGAGCACCACGAGCTCCTTTCGGTCCAGACACACCAGTTGGTCCCTATAACCAAAGCAGGAAAAAACAATATGAAGAAATCAGGGTTTGATATTAACTTTTTCACTCACTCACTCGCCAAAAAAGAAAAAAGAAATGAACCAGATTAACTACATCACATCTTATATAGGATATATATATATATATATTATAACAATTGGATTTCATAGATTAATTTCTTGATAATCATAGATTAACAAAATCCTGTCATCCAGCATCTCCTCTTCCTCTTCCATCCTCATCCTTTTCACCAAAAATGTGTTTTAGATGGACAGATCAATACAGTAAAAAGAACATAAAAAATGTAGGATGTTGGAAAATAACAATGTCTTTTCTGTTAACCAAATGCTTTATCTTCGCTTTTGCTTCAATGCAAATGAACAAGCGCACCGTTATTTGTTGCGTAGTGACGTGTGTGTTCAAGTAAGTCAGATATGAGCAGATTCTCCGCAATACGCTGTATTTCATATATCATGATGACTCACGAGTATTTGCACTAAATCTGTGCAGATTTGGCTTACACGAACTTCCCCAGAACAGAAGTAACACTCCAGATTGGCTGGTGATTTGACAGAGTTACCCACCACTGATGATTTTTACCCACATTTGGCAGGTTGGCGGGTGTTCATTTCAAACCCTGGAAGAAGTACAGGCACGCTATAGTACAACAGCACTGCAGTAAAGTAAATGAAATTGGCCTGTTACCTGAGGACCTGGAGATCCAGAAGGCCCCTGAGGGCCCGGGGCCCCAGCATCACCCTTCTGTCCGCCTTCACCCTGCTCTCCTTTAAGGCCAGGCTGTCCATCTGCACCCTAACACACACAAATAACACCTTTAACAATCAATGGCAAAATTAAAGAGCACCTATTCTGCTTGTTGCCATGTTCATCTGTGTTTAGTGTGTAATGTTGCTGTTTGATCATGAAAAAGTTACGAGTTTAACAAGTTAAATCCCATTGAGATATCACTATCTCTTCTTCCAGGGAGCCCTGGTCAAGACGGCAGCACATCGAGTTTCACACAGAGATAACCATAAAAAACAATACTCATACACAACAAAAAGTAAATTCAAGAAAATCACTTACAAGGCTCCTTTAAAGCATTTCGCAAAAGGCATTTAAGAGTACTCAGACGTGGCAATATCTCTAGTTTACGTACATTTGGCAGTTCGCTCCAGGCCCAGGGTAGCCTGGTCCCACCAGACATTTCATTTGTACAGAGAGTCTGGCCTCGCTCCATTGACAAGCGTTAACTTCCTTATAGGCGGTCCTCTGTTAAAGTCTAAAACTATTGGATCTGCCCAGAGCCACTCTGGATCTGCCATAACCAATCGCTAACGTTTGGTCGTGACGTATGACGACTCACACTATTGCACGGCATCAACGTCATCGTTCTCAGCCACTCCCTCTGTTCGCTGATTGGCCCGGTAAAAAATTGACCGGAGAAAACCAAAGAATACAGCACAAACCCAGACATAGTACTGAAGGAAAATGAAAATTGAGCGGCAGTACGTAGGAGGGCGGAGCCAGGCCAGGGAGCATGAAAAGAAAAAGCACGTTTGCTAAATTCTGAGAATACCTTCAGAACTTTTAACTGAATGTGTGATAGAAATCTAGTACAATAATTATTTGTATAAAAAGGCAAGAGATTTGAGATATATGAGGGCAATTTACCTAAAAGTGCCTTAGCACTAAACATTTACATGCAATTTCCCTCTATGATGTAAAGATGTCCATGCCAATTATTCATTTAATATACGCTGCATGATTGACAGAGTCCAATTTCCTTAATAAAGATGAAGCCGCATATAAACCAGGTCACCATAGTCAATAACAGATGAAAAAGCTCCAGTCCTACTCTATATCAGTGTCAGTGTTTCTGAACGCCTGAAACGCCTCCATTGTAGTCTTGAGTTTCTTCCGGGAACGAACACGTCACAATATCGCTTGTCATTTTATTATTTTAATTTTAATTATGTTTATGTATGTTTAATGCATGTAGGTTTTGTATTCTACTGGATACTTGAATTTCCCTCGGGATAAATTAAGTATCTATCTATCTATCTATTTATATTACTCATTATAATAATTCATAAGCAGAATAAAGGGGCGGGGCCTGGTTGAGTGAGTTACTAGTGTGTTAAACTGGCGGTTATGGAAAGGGGCGGGACATTTCCCAAACACACTCGAAGCACTCGACCAATCACAACACACTGCTCCAGCCGACCAATCAGAGCACAGTGTGCTTTTCAGAAGGAGGGGCTTCATAGAGACAGGAAGTAAACAAAGCGTTACTGACAGACTGGGAAGAGAGGAGCCGCAACAATGGAGAATATGAGGAAAATAATCAACATTCAAGCAGGAAAACTTGTTCTAGTAGAGCCTGAAACATCATCAAGACTGTAAAAGGGACTTTATAATGATGAACTGTTGGTGCTCTAACACTCACTGAAAGGACAACAACGCCTTTTGTGCCATTAATCAGACGTAACTGTTCATTCATCATTTATAATGTTACTTTTAAATGTTCCTGATTATGGTGTTTTATTAAAATCAGGTCTTGAATTTTAATAAAACTGATTTCTTGTTCCTCCACTACATTTCTTTAAATATGTCTCAATAAGAGTCCACAATGCTGAGAAACATTGATTTACAGACAGTTCCATTGTCAAACCTTCACACAGCTCCAGATCATGAATCAGCTTGACCACTTTAGATCTTTTAGAAGGACTTAAAGCTTTAACTTCTCAAGTGCAGTCCTCTCACATCTATACTCATGCTACAAAACTGCCATACTGTTGCAGTGACAGTTTTAAACGTCTAATATGACATACTTCACACAACATGCTGGCATGGATGTAGAGACAACAGCCAAACAGAGAGCAGAAGCAGAAACAAATCATATAAACTATGTTCTGGGTAAAGAGCTGATGTAATTACATCATTTCTAAATTGACAGGACACTCATCTGCCTTCTCTTATACTGAATGCTGTCATCTCAGTGCTTACTTTATCAAATAAATATACGATCAAGCAATTATAAGCATTGACTTAATTTGCACCATCTTTCCAACTTCATTTTATTTTCTGCAAAAATTAAGAAAATGAGTTTCACTATTAGTTGGGTAACCTCTTGGTCAAAGAAATTGTGCAACATTTATTTGTGCACTGAGAAACAGCTATTCCAGTAGTTTGATGGTAATGTATGAGAAATAAATAAAAACAAATAGCTATTAAGATTGTATTGCTGTACTTACAGGTGGACCAGCAAAACCAGCAGGACCATGAGGACCGGTCTCTCCTCTGTCGCCCTGTCAAACAGATAAAGTCTCAGTTTTAGTATATGTGTACTTGTTCATTCTTATATCGTATGTACAATAATGATGCCATGCCATCAGCTAAAACAGATGTTATGTTCTTTTCCTAGAAAGTACGACACGATATGTATAAAGCATCTACATATAACCTTTGTACATGGATTACTAAGTTTTACTTAGTTACTAAGTTAAATTGAATGATTTCATCCATTCATCTATCCATCTGTATGTGTGTGTTGATATGATTGTGGCAAGCAGGACGAGGCCGAGGGACGTGAGAGAGCGTCGCGAGGCCGGTGGCGTGCTCGCCACAATGATGTAGTTTTCTAACTGTATTTTGCCATTATTTTGCTGTCTCGCCACCAGCCAATCGCTGCATTGCATTGATCACAGTTGAAACATCTGCCCTTTCCAGTGAACACAAGGACTTGTCGATCACGATGAGAAGATCTGGCATACAGTTGTGGCCAAAAGTGATGTCCGGCCAAGAAAATTGACATCTTCACCCTTTATTCAAATATTATTAACAGTGTTAAATATTTTGTAAGCATATTGCATAGTTGTGCTTGGATTCAACTGTTTTATTTGTGATAATAATGCAATGAAACATGACAAATTGTGGGACATAATTGTTGCCCAGGCTGTCATACAAAGAAATGATGATGCAAAAACGAGAGAACCAACGAAATATTAAAAACTGATTATGTTGTAGTCAATGTATGCATTTTATATTTTTGCATAGTAAAAATAATTCCTTTTGATTTTTCTTTTTGTCATATAAATACCAAGTTTAGTGTTTTATTCTTCCCTCATATTTAAATTATTTAAAAAAATATTAAATATTTTCCTTCTATTTTGATGGTTTAATCGAACTTTCAGTCATTAAAAACAAATATCCCCTCCGGACATCACTTTTGCCCACTACTGCATGTCATATGTCATTGCACGAGGTATGAAGAAGTCAGACCAGGATGAAGTTTCATGTCATTTCATGTCATTTCTAAACAATAGAAGATCACAAGTGCAAAAATATTATGTTGATCTAGATGTAAAATGTATGTAAAGTAGATAATTGACACTATTATCATGAGCACAGGTTCCTAAATACTGCTATAGTTTGTGAGACTCACAGGAACACCGCGAGTACCAGCAGCTCCAGACGGTCCCATGGGTCCAGATTCTCCCTGAGGAATGAATGAGCAAAGGATCAGGCTCAATTATGAATTAATGTGTGATGCAGTGCTTAATATTAGACATTCAACAAAGAAATGAACTAATAACAAACAGGTAACTTTAGTACCTTTTCACCGTTGGGTCCCCCAGGCCCTGTAGGACCGATTGGACCCGTTAAACCCTGTAAAGACACAACAGTTATGTTCATAAACATGAAAATTCTCTGTGCAAGTGTCTTCGGACACACGGCGAAGGTTTCCCGCTAAACTCATGCTTCGCTGAGAGTCTCTCAAATGGAAGTACAGTGAATGGACATTTTTTGTGCCCTATTTGTTGTGGGATTTAATTTTACATTCATTGTCTTATTGCCGTTTATAAATATTGCAGACATACAGTTCACTGTTTAGTGGTAGCTTGAGAAGCATCTTTTAGATCAACATTGCACGCGCAGTCTCGCACACACACACACACACACACACACACACACAATAGATCAGCGGTCGGGAACACAGGTCTCACACTCTTTACCAATAAATTATCGATAAAAAATTAGACGCATCAATAGAGATCAGCTTTCTGTAGAAAAAGCAACCAATTAAAATTCCTTTGTTACCTACTGAAGGTAAAGAAAAATTTAGAATAATATATTTCAAGTTGTACCGGTCAAAGTGATCGCGAGTGTCACGACAGCAATCCTACTGCTCCTCCACTCAGGTTCAAGCAGCTGCTGTTACGTAGCTTGTTTGCGGTAATGCCGAAAACTATTTTTAGAATAGGAGGGAAAATTTAAAAGTAGGCTATATAAAAAATTGACGGGACTGAAACATAAAAGATTTCTATCAAAGATACAAAGAGACATTTTGAAACATTTCACTGTGTACTTTCGCTTTTGATGCAGAAATCTTTTATGTCCTAAAAATGTGTCATATTTATGATAATCCATGCAGCTTTCAGTTTTCGATTTTATTTGAAGATATTAATAACGAAGCATGGATGAATGATGTGATTGATATTGAAAATAAATATTAAAAGCGCAAAAAGGCGCGAAATAGAACTGAATCTAAACATATTCAATGTAAGCACTGTGCGTTGTAATTCACTCACTCACTCACTCACACACACACTCACACACTGACTCACTCACTCACACACACACTCACAAACTGACTCACTCACTCACTCACACTGACTCACTCACTCACTCACTCACTCACACACACTAACTCACTCACTCACTCACTCACTGACTCACTCACAAACTGACTCACTCACTCACTCACTCACACACTCACTCAGACACTGACTCACTCACTAACTCACTCACTGACTCACACACACACTCACACACACACACTGACTCACTCACTAACTGACTCACACACTCACTCACTCACTAACTCACTCACTCACTCACTCACTCACACTCACTCACACACTCACTCAATCACTCAGACACTGACTCACTCACTCACTCACTTACTAACTCACTCACTCACTCACTCACACTCACTCACACACTCACTCAATCACTCAGACACTGACTCACACACTCACTCACTCACTAACTCACTCACTCACTCACACTCACTCACACACTCACTCAATCACTCAGACACTGACTCACTCACTCACTCACTCACTCACTCACTCACTCACTCACAAACTGACTCACTCCCTCACACTCACTCACTCACTCACTCACTCAATCACTCAATCACTGACTCACTCACTCACTCACTCACTCACTCACTCACTCACTCAATCACTCAGACACTGACTCACTCACTCACTCACTTACTAACTCACTCACAAACTGACTCACTCACTCACACACTCACAAACTGACTCACACTCACTCACTCTCTCACTCACTCACTCACTCACTCAGACACTCACTAATTCACTCACTCACTCAGACACTGACTCACTCACTAACTCACTCACACACACACACACACACACACACACTGACTCACTCACTAACTCACACACACACACACACACACACACACACACACTGACTCACTCACTAACTCACACACACACAATCACTCACTGACTTACTGACTCACTCACACACACACACACACAATCACTGACTCACTGACTCACTCACTCACTCACTCACTCACTCACTCACTCACACACACACACTCACACCCTCACTCACACCCACACTCACTCACACACTCCCTCACTCACACACACACACAAACACACACACACACAAACACACACACACACTCACTCACTCACACACTCCCTCACTCACTCACTAGATGTTAGTACTTTCATCTGTGCTTGAAAAGCAACAGCCAACCACGGATCAAAAAAATCAACACAAAGTGAATATCAAAAGTTCTGAACATGTTAGTATCTATTGGAGGAAAGATCATCTTACTCTTGCGCCGTCTTTCCCAGGAGCTCCTTCGGGTCCTTTCTCACCATTATCACCCTGTGACACACACACAGTCATATCTTATAACTCATATCTATTACAGCACCTTTATTCCAAATGTTTTAAATTATCTTTGAAACCATTCCTTACTATCTACCATTAACTACATAAACCAATAACCGTTTTCTACACACACACACACACACACACACACACACCAATCTATGTGCAGAAGAACTTTACTAATCAAGACGTTCTCACAGAGAGCGGATATGAATACATCTCAGAGATGTTTAGATGTTGCACTCACTCTGTCCCCCTTTGGTCCAGGAATCCCAGAGGTCCCTCTCTCTCCAGGCATCCCCTGTAATCCCGGAGGCCCCTGAGCTCCAGGAGTTCCTGCGGGACCGACGCCACCCTGCAGACGAGCACAACATCACACACACACACAGTTAGAACCACACAGTGAAAGCTGCAGTACTGCACAGAAACCAGTCAGGAGTTTTTTTTTTTTTTTATCTGTTTATTAAACTTTTACAATAATACCAGGATACAGATACAGGAGAATAGTGAAAAAATATTTTAAAGAGAGATTTATAAATTTATAAATAAAAAAATCTCAATACATAGTGTAACACAAAGTATATCAAGCATAATGTCTCAAGTATAGAATTGGATCGTTTAGAAATTTTGACCAGATATCAAGTGTATGCACATCATTGACACATATATGCACATATACACATATACTCCTGAGCAGGTTTAAGCCACAATCATTGTGACATTGTAATGCTTCGGTTGACACACTTTCAAGAAGAAATCATGAGTTTTTGATGGTAGTTTCTGTCTGATTGATCCGCTTACCTTGGGTCCGTCGGTTCCTGGAGTTCCTGGTAAACCTCGAGGCCCCTGGAGGCCCTGTGGCCCCGCACCTCCTCTCTCTCCTGGGAAACCACGCTCACCCTGAGCAGGACAAGGGAACTTTAACACACGGAATGCAAGGTACTTACAAAGCAAAGAGAAAGCGAGGGTTTGAGACTCACTCGGGGTCCAGTGCCCCCTGCGGCTCCGGCCTCTCCTGGAACACCCTGAATGAGCAAAGACACACACACGCGGCTTTATTACACATCTATGTGTGGCCAACAAAATAACAAGTAAGTTTCCTCGTGGGATTCAGGAACTCTTACCTGATCACCGGGTTTCCCACCTTCACCAGGGGGACCGGGGGGTCCGGGCAGACCCTGTGAACATCACAAACATACAAATATAACAATGTCCAAACATGTTATTAAGATAAATGGTCCCGTTTTATATTAAGTGTTTTTAACTACTATTTACATTTCAATTAATGTTATTAATTTATTTGGATAGTCCACTTAAGACATTCAACAAACTTTAAGTAACTACATGTCAACTAACTCTCATTCATTTTCAACTACATGTCAAGTAACTCTTTAAGGTTCGAGTTCGTAGAATAATTTTACGTACTTGTAAAGTTACTTATAGTCAGTGCATGTCTGTTGAGGAGCATCAAAATAAAGTGTTAGCAGATCTTAAGCAGACAGTCTACTAATACTCTAATGACTGCTAGTTACTTATAGTTAGTAGAATGGGTAACACCTTATTTTAGTGTCCTTGTTACATGTTGCATGTAGTAATAACTATAAATTATGCATTATTACATGTTAACCCTACAACAAACCTAATCCTAACCCCAATCCTGTAGTAAATACGTGTAGTTAATTAATATTACTCAGTACTTTAATGTATAATTACACTGTAACAAGGACACCTTCAAATAAAGTGTAACCGTAGAATGTCTAAAGTGGACTATCGAAATAAAGTGTAACTTAAATTATTTTTTTGAGATAATGCACTTATTGTGTACATACATTTTTACATTGTACTTATATTTAAAAAAAAACACCTGCATGTATTTACAGATGTAATTAATTTCTGTAATTACATTTATTTTATATAACTACCCTGTTGACCCTTCCCTTACACATTAACCCACTCTTACCAGCAAACCTGTCCTGACCTTACCCGTGTCCAGCTCAGTAGCAGCACAAGAGCTTTCAATAACACAATAAGTACATTACACCTAATAATTATTACTTTTTGATGTAAGTGTGACCAAATAAATTGTTCATTATTTTATTATTAAAATAAATCTTCAAGTAGCACTGCACAACTAGCTGTAGAGCTACAGATCTAAGAATATAAAACATGTTCTTTAAAACCTCCATTAATAACATAACAGTATTTTCCATAAAAAATAACTAAATAACGCAATTAGTTACTTTTTTAGTGAGTAATGCAATCTTGTAACACATTATTTTAAAAGTAACATTCCCCAACACTGACTTCTTTTATGATAAATTAACTCGATAAGTTGGTATAAATGTATAGACAACTCATGATTTCGTTTGATCAAGTACATGATCATTCTGGGGTTCAAATTGCTATTAAAATCATGTACCATCAACTGAAATATGCAGATCAATATCAACAGTCACCCAGCCGGATGGGAATTATCTTCACAAACACAGTTCTTTTCAACACACAGTATCATTATTTCTGTCTTACAATAATTCAGATTATCACAGAAGTACTGAGATAAAAGTTTATAGTTTTTAAAGATTTAAACACTGATGTCTACGGTATAGATCAAAATAGAGTAAATCACCTTTTGAAAGTAACTTGACACTTCAAATAATGATTGTTACATCTTTACACCAGTAGGTGGCGACAATTGACTGTTATTAATGTATTTGTCATTGAATCATTCACTCAAGAGATTCGTTTAAAAACGGTGATTCATCCAGTGATGTAACAAGTGAAGTCTTTATGAGTGAGTCATTGAATCATTCACTCAAGAGATTCGTTTAAAAACGCTGATTCATCCAATAATGAAACAAGAGAAGTCGTTATGAGTGAGTCATTAGATCATTAATTCAAACCTTTTTTTTTTTTTAAGAAGAGAATTGAGATCTCTATTATAAACAAAAAAATCGTGATGTTCAGTTCATCCAGAATCGTGCAGCTCTACTATAAAGCACGGCGACAGTGGTCATTTGTCCACTGATCTGCAGCGTTCACACACTCACCTGGAAGCCCGATGGTCCTGGCTGCCCCTGCTCTCCTCTCTCTCCTGCAGGACCCTGTGAACATCACATCATCTCAGAGCTCATTCTGCTTAACCTTGCATTAGCACGAGACGTGGACACACACAGAGACACACTCACAGCAGGTCCCGGGGGTCCGGCAGCGCCCGTCTCTCCATCTTTTCCAGGCAGACCCTGCAGAGGACAAGACATCCGTCACTACATCGCTGTACGATGTGAAGCTGAGGTGTGAAAGGGTGCGTCGTATTTCCTCACAAACACTTCTAGTTTCTAAAGGACAGCTTTAGGCAGTTTTACACCTGCTTTTTCAAAACTCTTCATTGCTTTTGTACAAAATGTACTCAATGACTATATCTCAGCAAGCAATAGCCGTCATTTCTCTGTCTAGGTTAACTATAGACCCGATATAGTCCGGCTGTAAGTAACACACTTCTAGCCAAAATAACCTAGAATTTGGTTACATGTCGTTTTTTGCCAGAATAACTTGCGAGATGTTTGATATTCCATAATGTAAGCAAAGTCAACAGTGATTACAAGCTGTTTAGTTTCATTTCTTTGTTGTCTAATTGTTGACTAGTCTATTCTTGGTCGATGGTTTAGACGTCTATTAAATGTTCACTGACAGCCCAAATTTTACCTTGTTTTAGCCAGACGTCAGGCTGTGTTTGGACGGCTATTACATTAATTGCTTGCTGAATGCTGGAATCTTTTAAATTACATGAATTATTTTCTCACTTTGACACAAACACCAGCAAAACTCTGAACCTACAGGACAATTTTCATGTTTACATGCTCGTTTCAAAACATAACATAATACAATAATGAATAAGACCGGAATTTGCTACATTACTACAGTAATACCATAATGAAATATATTCTGGATCTTAAAATGAAACACTATCAACACAATTAGATGTCCAGTAGCTGAACACACACATCAGTTTCATAACTATCTAAAAGGGGAACAATTTAGGAATAATTTTGTACTGTAATGTAAACATGGACCATGTAACAAACTGGTGAATTATAAACAGGGGAGAGTGTCATTCTTGTTTTGTAAAGAAGAAAACTTGTAGCCTATAAAGTGTTGTTGGTGTTTTTTTATGTCGTTGTCGGGTGAAACCTTTGCTAGTGTTCTGGAAGATCGAGTTGATTTGAGACATGAATGAAGTGTTTTGGTAGTTTAAGTGCATTTTCAATGTGAAATGAACTGCTTTTGAGAAATGGGTCCTAGTGATTGTAAAACGCTGTAACAGCTGTGTGTGTTCAGCTACATCCAATTTTTTTGCTAGCATTCCAGATTCAGGATATATTTCAGTATTTACTGTATGTATGCAATGTAGAAAATTGCTGTCTTATTCATTTTTGTACTATGTTAGGTTTTGAACTTATAGTTTCAACAGTTTTGAAAAGAGCATGTCCAGTAGGATCATAGTTTTGCTGATGTTTGTGTGAGAAAAATGTAATTTGAAGGAAGTCACTGAATACATTTTGTGCTAGTCTTGTGAAGATTCAAGTAAGATTTCACTCTACATGGTCCATCATGTGCACACGACCATACGACTTTGAAATAACAGCGTGTTTTCTTGATAATATCACACTTACTATTTTTCCCTTCGTAAATTACCATTTACCCAAATCTATGTTTAGTGATGTTGCCTGAAATATATATGAGAGCCACCGAAATGCATCCAAATGTCCATTTCTTCTTAAAACACATGACCGTTTTAGCTCTGCGAGAGGGAAATTGCTAAGAAACGCTGCCAAGAGAGCTCAGCACTGCTAATGAGAAGGACCAACGCTCAGTCGGCCTGAAGATCAGTCAAGCTGCTCTGTTTAGCAGTGGAGATGTGTTGAGGAAAACTTACACGCAAACCCGGAGCCCCAGCGAGTCCCTTCTCTCCGGCCTTCCCAGCTTCACCCTGCAGCGAGAGAGAGATGCCTGATATACACTGCATTATGCTTTAAGATGAATTAAGATTCAGAGCACTATATGTTTAGTGCAATAATTAATATAAAAAAAGACCAGTAATGTACACATTCGAGCTGCCGTAATGCACACAGAACAAACAGACGTGTATTGATAAGAGTGTTGATGTTTACATTGCCACCCTTGGGTCCAGGGAATCCCATCACTCCCGGCTGGCCACGCACACCCTGAGGCCCCGGGGGTCCCGGCCGCCCGTCTTCACCCGCAGCGCCCTACATCCCCGGCACAACCATACCGTTAATCAGGATCCAAACACATCTTTAATTCCTGAACACCCTCAAAACCCCCAAAGGTCAAATATTGCAATTTATAAGGTTCTATAACTTTTTTTTTTTTAGTCTATCCTTATATTTTATTTATTTATTTATTTGTATATCTTTACATTTAATCTTTTTTTCTTTTTTTTTGTCTATCCTTATATTTTATTTATTTATTTATTTGTTTGTATGTTTGCATATCTTTATATTTTATTTATTTATTTATTTGTCTATCCTTATATATATATATTTTTTTTTTTTTTGTCTATTCTTATATATATATATATATATATATTTTTTTTTTTTTTTTTTTTTTTTTGGGACAGTGCACATTAATATACAATTTCTACTCGTGTCAGTAGCACCTCATTGCAGTACACGAGATCCAGGGGGCGGAGTTGGATCCAGATCTAAGGGGTGGAGATGGGTAGGATTAGGGGTGGGGTTAGGGATCAGGGGGTGGAGATGGGTAGGATTAGGAGTGGGGTTAGGGATCAGGGGGCGGAGATGGGTAGGATTAGGGGTGGGGCTAGAGATCAGGGGGCGGAGATGGGCAGGATTAGGGGTGGGGTTAGGGATCAGGGGGCGGAGATGGGTAGGATTAGGGGTGGGGTTAGGGATCAGGGGGCGGAGATGGGTAGGATTAGGGGTGGGGCTAGAGATCAGGGGGCGGAGATGGGCAGGATTAGGGGTGGGGTTAGGGATCAGGGGGCGGAGATGGGTAGGATTAGGGGTGGGGTTAGGGATCAGGGGGTGGAGATGGGTAGGATTAGGGATCAGGGGGCGGAGATGGGTAGGATTAGGGGTGGGGCTAGAGATCAGGGGGCGGAGATGGGCAGGATTAGGGGTGGGGTTAGGGATCAGGGGGTGGAGATGGGTAGGATTAGGGGTGGGGTTAGGGATCAGGGGGCGGAGATGGGTAGGATTAGGGGTGGGGTTAGGGATCGGGGCGGAGATGGGTAGGATTAGGGGTGGGGTTAGGGATCAGGGGGCGGAGATGGGTAGGATTAGGGGTGGGGCTGGAGATCAGGGGGCGGAGATGGGCAGGATTAGGGGTGGGTTTAGGGATCAGGGGGCGGAGATGGGTAGGATTAGGGGTGGGGTTAGGGATCAGGGGGTGGAGATGGGTAGGATTAGGGGTGGGGTTAGGGATCAGGGGGCGGAGATGGGTAGGATTAGGGGTGGGGCTAGAGATCAGGGGGCAGAGATGGGCAGGATTAGGGGTGGGGTTAGGGATCAGAGGGTGGAGATGGGTAGGATTAGGGGTGGGGTTAGGGATCAGGGGGCGGAGATGGGTAGGATTAGGGGTGGGGTTAGGGATCAGGGGGTGGAGATGGGCAGGATTAGGGGTGGAGTTAGGGATCAGGGGGCGGAGATGGGTAGGATTAGGGGTGGGGTTAGGGATCAGGGGGCGGAGGGTTAGGGTCAGATGGTAGATCCAACTCCTCCCCCTGGATTTCGTGTTCTGCAGTGAGGACCATCTCACTCGTGTAGAGACTGTAAATGAGCCAGATTAAAGCATAAATGCTCATTTTCATCTGTAGTCCCGAGGCAGGAACACAACAACACAAAAGTATAATATGACAATATACAGTATCAGTCAAGAAACACATTGACACGCATTCAGACAAATTACATTACATCAATAAAATTAGTCAAAATGAGGACATAACTGGGAACTTTTAAGAAACTGTTTATGATGCTTTTTAAATGTGCAGTAAGTGGGACTTTCTCTAATGTTTGTAGGGAGGCTGTTCCTCTGATAGACAACAGTTTGTTTTCTGTGTGGGATCTCGAGGGCTCCTCTGAATGAGGCTCTCGTGCAAAAACCTCTGCCAGTCCTTGGTTTAATGTAGAAAGTGGACGTGGGGGCAAGTCCATGAAAAACTTTATAAATTAAACAGCCATTTTTAAAATGACTACATTTTTCAAAATTGAGCATATTGTATTTCTCCAAAATATTACACTGATGGAATGACAGTGGCTTTTGATCAAATATTTTTATAGATTTGTTTGTCTCCAGTGAGTGACCAGGTTGTGATGCTGTGTCTATGTGTGAAAATATCATTGAATGTAGGAACATTTTAGCAGAAGTAATTGTCAATGGTGGTCTGATTTGTTTAAAGTTATGTAGATTGAATTTGTTTTGAATATTGTTGTTTGTCGATATGTGTATTTTGTATAATTTCTGTATGTATTCCTGCAATTAAAAAAAATACAATTTTAGTACAAAAAGGTTCCAAACACATTACCACAGCTCAGCTTTTAGCATGTGTGTGTTTGTCTTTAAAAATTATAGTTGTGTTCCAGGTGAAATACTATGCACTTATAGTATTTATGTACTTAACATAAATTAAGTACATAAATACTTTATTTACTTAATAAATAATTAAGTTATGTACTTTACATAACTTAACATAACGTAACAGTGTGGTGTATATGAATCTCATAAGGTTATTTTTGATGTTTGATATTCCATCATGTTTGATATTCCATCATGTAAGTAAAGTCAACAGTGATTACAAGCCGTTTAGTTTCATTTTTTTCACTCATTTCATTTCTTTGTTGTCTAATTGATGACTAGTCTATTCTTGGGTGATGGTTTAGACGTCTATTAAATGTTCACTGACAGCCCAAATTTTGCCTTGTTTTAGCCAGACGTCAGGCTGTGTTTGGACGGCTATTAGACGTCTTTTAAACACAAAATTGCTTGCTGGGGAGAGAGCAGGAGTTCGCTAGAGAAATTAACTCTAGAGAGAATCATTTCGTATATGCACTATATTAGCCGATTCATTATATTTACTTATCCTGTTAGTAATGTCTTGATTATTTAATGCATGTTTAAATAAATTTGTCATGAAAACAGGTTATGACAGCCACTGCGTAAATTATTATCTTTCAAAAATGAATTGGAGTAGAAAATTTACTTTATAATTAGATTTAGAAGTTAATACAAAACCTGCCTTATGTGCAATTTAAAGAACTTTTTTTTATTTGAGTGAAAAATACTGAACCCGTACCGAACCGTGACGTCAATACCGAGGTACGAACCGAACCGTTATGTTTGTGTACCGTTACACCCCTATTATATACAGTATATAAAGAGTTATTTTAATCCAATGTTGTTTGTGTAAATACATATCTGTTATATTTATATACACTGTTTTTCATGTTCTTTTTTATACATTAGATCAGTACCCTTATCATTTGAGTACAATTTAGCATAGTGTTAGGATTCGATATCTAAAGAGCAATATTAATTGATTTTCTTCACTAAATAATCTCTATGTGATTGAAAGGTTCACTATTAATCATAAGGGGCTTTTGCACCGAAGGAACCTTTTCATAGTTCCTATAACTATTGGCAGAAGTGCCAGCTTTGCGGCGTGTTCGCACCGCAGGACCAGGGAACGATTTTAGTTCTAGCAACTCGTTTTGGAGGAACTAAATTAGCTCCTTCAGAGTCAGGTCTAAACCAGTACTATAGGAACTACCAGTGACATTAGTGGACGCTGATTGGTCGAACGCACGCGAAACACCATAAAAAGCTGTGTACACACACAGATTATAGCCTATATTTACTCCACGAACATGGAAAACAGTGATAGATGGACCTTTAAACCTTTACAGTAAAGAGAAAACGCGACTTTGAAGGGACCAAGAGAAACATGATTATGTATTTCCGCTCAGCTAGCGACATTGAGCATTGACCACACAGCAAACGCTAATGCTTTTTCACATACTGTAGTTCCTATACCTAAGTTAGGCTATATATATAAGGCTATATAGTCAAAATATTGGCTGTCTACTCACAGATGGACCGACTTTGCCCTGTGGACCGGCATCACCCGGACGTCCCGTCAGACCCTGTGAAACGAGAATGGCCGTGATTATGACAAACATGTATAACCAGTATCAGATCTGTTGGCAGAGGAGACCGGTGGACTGATGTACCCGTGCACCAGGCAGACCCGGTTCTCCAGGCCGTCCAGGGTCTCCGCTGGCTCCCTTGGGCCCCGATACGCCCGCAGATCCACGCTCACCCGGAGCGCCCTGCAACACACACGCATAATGACAGAAACTGAATACATGCTGCAATCAAGTAAAACCTGATATGATTTTCATAACCATTTGCTAAGTCATAGTTTGGCTTCCAATGTAATAGTGCAATCTTTACGGACGGACACAGAGCTATATATGCTGCAACATTCCCAAAGAACAATATTAGACACATTTTGACTTTAGTCACTAGGGCTGACCCCTAACAGTCGACAAAACGATAGTCGACGAGAAGTTCGACATTTTAATTAGTCAGTTAGTCGCAGAAAAAATGAAGTGGTGAAGTCACGCAGTCCATGACGGACAGATCGTTAAAGTCCCCCAGTAGTCAATCATTTTATCCCTTAAAACTCATCCTTGATCCCCAAAATGACATATTTAAACGTTTTTTTTTCCTTGAAAATTTCCACTGGTTGACGATCACACGTTGATCTGATTGGTTACAAGGTAGTTTGTGACGACAGGAACTCCAGCGATTTCAAACCGTGTTTTTGAGACTGTCTTTGGTTCACTGCAGTTTTAAGCAGAAAATACTCAGCAATGGTGTTTATGAATGTGTATTTATGAATTTACACATGGTTTGTCTTAAAGCATATTTAAAACACCACATAGACATATAAACAACATTAAAAGCTGGATTTTCAAAACAGGGGGACTTTAAGAGATCTGGTTCATGTGGTAATTATGTTCCGTTAGATAAGTAATCTAGATAAATGTGCGCTTTTATTAGGCACATATCCAAGTGTTTGTTTGAAAGCTAAACTAGTATGACGTTTAACTTCACGTGCATTTCTCTCTATAGGCGCATCCACTATACTGTGAGATGAGAGTCATGTTTGCAGAAAACACTAGGTTATTAATAACCCTAGTGAAAAATAAATACACTAAAATATATTAGAAATACATTTATTTTATGCAAAGTATACAACAAATACTTATACATATTTATGTACTCAATTGCAACACCTTGCAATTGTACTTTTGGTATACTAAACTGGTATACTTAAAGTCTGCTAAATTGGAACAACTAATTTTGTACTTCATGTATATGAAATAGTTATCCAGAAATAGTGCTGAGGTCCAACTAAAGATATTATGAACTATATTTGATTGTGCTGAAGTGAAACAATTGCAAGTAAACTTTAGGTACACTTTAAATATCTTGCATTTAAATTATACAGTGATCATACTATCCTTACTAATAGTGATATTAAACACATTTTAGGCTTGATATTAATAAATGTGCATTGTGTAATAAAGAAGTACTCCAAATAAAGTTTAATTATAATATTTATATCATTAAGCCTCAAGCAATTTGTCAAAAATATGTTAATAGATTTCTAGTATTCTTAGTATTTTAAATACATTTTGGCATAGGTTTTTTTCACTAGGGAAATTATTAAAATGCCCAGACAGTCTCCTTTCTGATTTTCCTAAAACATTCATAATCAAAACTTTTGTGTGCGCTTTATGCGTACAATTGAGCCCTTAATTTGTATTTTCAAGGTTCATTGTTATGGTTGAGTATTTCTCTGTAATGTGGAACACTGACTAGTCGACTAACGGCTTAAATGAACGACTATGACTTTGTTCATTTGGCTTTGTTCATCACATCCAGCATAAAATTATAGTAAGGGCTTATTGTTTTTTGCATTCTGAGCATGGCGTCTCACCTTTGGACCAGCCAGACCATCTTGTCCAGGAAAACCTCGATTCCCAGGAGTACCCTGCAGAAAACATGCTATCATTGTTGAATGTTATTTACAGAATGCAGTGCAATGCTTCATCATAGAAACACAATGCACGTATGGGTCACGTGTTAAATGTTATAAACGACTCAAGAGGAGCAGATGAAGTAAAGATCAGATATGAGGCAACAGCGTCTCACTCTCTCTCCATGCGGGCCGACGGGTCCAGCGGCACCAGGCTCTCCTCTGGGTCCTCGCTTACCTTCCTCTCCGGCAGGGCCGATGGACCCTTGCAGACCAGCGCTCCCCTGAACACACCAGGCTTTATTTAAAACATTCATTTTCACTTGACGTACTGTAAAACACTCATACATACACTGCATCTGAAAGAAGGTTTAAATACTAAAAACTGACTTCTCACATGTGTTGTTGCTTGCATCTATGTATAGCAGCTACAAAATCAATATTTAAATACATTTTAAAATGTAAAAAAGTATTATTTTAATGCAACATTGTTTCATGTAAACATCCTGGCAACACTTTACTTAAAGTTTTTATATATAATGCATTATAAAAGTATTTTAATGCGTTTATTATGCCTTGTAATGCACATTATAATGCATTGTATGCTTATTTATTAACTGCTACACCTTTAGAATATATAATGCATTAAAACACTGCAAAATAACTTCAGATATAACAAGGAATCTGCAAATATTATAATACATTTGAACTTTGGCTACTATTATTTATGAAAAGATATAATGCATTATAATGTACATTAGGAATACCTTTATAAGGCATCATCCATACATAAAGGCTTTGAGTAAAGTGTTACTGACATTTTTATGTTTACAGTCCAGTAGTGCAATACAGTGCTGCAGATAATGAAGTTATTTATAATGTTATATGACTTCTAGTGTGAATGTAAGGACTTACAATTTCTCCTTTAGGACCAGCCTCACCCTTGAACCCTGCGAGACCCGAATCCCCCTGAAGACAAACACACATCAGGGTCAGATCTATCACTGCAGACCATGAAGCTCGTGATCTGAACATTATCAGATGAGACCAGAAGATCCGTTGAATGAGGATCACTGGTGGGATTGAAGGGTCTAGGCGTGGGTGATGTGACCATAATCTTAACTTCATTACAATATATATATTTATATACACACATATCAGCCAGCACTTGAAGGGTCCCATGTTTGTTTGAATAAAACAGATCTGTGAAATGTCTTGACAATAATTCATATCTCATGCAGTGAGTTTCGATATAATGTACATTATTTAAAGAGGACCTATCATGCATTTGTTCATGTTGATCTTTCTTTAGTGTGTAACATTGCTGTTTGAGCATTAAGAAGCTCTGCAAAGGTACAAACTAAAGGTGCAAAGGTTATTTTCTATATCAATGTCAGTGTTTCTGAACTTCCTGGAACGTCTTGAGTTTCTTCCGGGAACGAACACGCCACAATATTCCTCATTATAATAATTCATACGCAGAATAAAGGGGCGGGGCCTGGTTGAGTTAGTTAGTTGTGTGTTGAAACTGGTGGTTATGGTAAGGGGCGGGACATTTCCCAAACACACTTGAAGCGCTCGACCAATCACAACACACTGCTCCAGCCGACCAATCAGAGCACAGTGTGCTTTTCAGCAGAAGGAGGGGCTTCATAGAGACAGGAAGTAAACAGAGCGTTACTGACAGACTGGGAAGAGAGGAGCCGCAACAATGGAGAATATGGGGAAAATAATCAACATTCAAGCAGGAAAACCTGTTAGTAGAGCCGGAAAACATCATCAAGACTTAACAGGGCATAATATGGCCTCTTTAAAACCAGCAAATACTCTCACACAACATACAACAATTCATCAGTCCCTCAAGTGCAAGAATCAAGTGCAAATGAATAACATCAATCAACACTTAAATGTCCTCATGTCCTGTGATCGGTGAGGTAAGGCGCACTCCTAACACACTGCTCAGCTTGCTCTATATAGTAATCACATAGAGAATCACATTGTACTAAGTCATGCTCTATCGCTAATAACACCTTGTCTAATACATTTATCACGAAAGTCCCTGATAATCTAATTGTTCTGCGTTTACTTATGTTTATTCTTAAATGAGGACGATTCGGCCATGTCTGTATAAATATGTCTATATAATAATCTCTTGAATTAATGGTTCATTCATTCAAGAGATTCGTTCAAAAACACTTATTCATCCAATAATCAAACAAGTGAAGTCTTTATGAGTGAGTCATTGAATCATTCATTCAAGAGATTCGTTTATTTTCGTTTATATATTATATTTTTGCATTAATTAACATTTTGCTAGAACCTTTAGTTGTCATTTCGGAATCGTGGGAGAATCATGATCTCTATTTTAAATAAAAAAATTGTGATTCTCAGTTTATCCAGAATCGTGCAGCTCTACTGGACTCGGTTAGTTACAGCAGTATAATGTGCAGTCAGCTGGTCATTAGTGCTGAATAAACCACGTGTCAGGGTCATGATCACCTGAATTGACTGAGGATTATCCCTTACTCAGCGGAGGAGGAACATTTGAAAGTAAAACTGAAACTCACAGACTGTCCCTTGGGCCCCAGAGGACCTGTCGCTCCCTGAGGTCCAGGAGGGCCACGAGGGCCCGGGAAACCAGTAGCGCCAGCAATACCAGGAGCGCCCTACGGGAAGAGAAGAGATTCCTCATATGATCTATTGTGTTGCTTTGGGTAATTCAAATAATCACAAGTGATCGGTGTATCGTGTCAAAACAGGAATGAAGCTCAGAGGAACAATAGAAGTGAACAACTCATTCACAAATAACGAAGTCACATGGAAATCCACATATACATGTACGTACCCCTGATCCTTTAGCTCCGGTGATGCCGTCAGTACCAGGGTTACCCTGCAGATTGAGCAAGAGCACACAGTCAGACAGTTACCGTCTAGCGCTCAGTTAACCCTTTCATCAGTCGCGGTTTGGTCTCTACGTTCCACTTGAAAGCAAAAATATAATAATAATCCTGACAGAAATGAGGAAATAATGAATAATAAAACATCATAGGCGTCCAGCAACATATAATCATTTTTAATGCAGTTTATTCTGCTGCATAAACACAATTATTTCATCTGCAGTCTTTCTTCAGCACATTTCACTGTATTTTATTGTGTTTAATGTTGCAAGCAAATAACTAACACGCATTCTTTGTTAATCTGTCACAATCATCTGAACTCATTCACCTTTAGATTCGTTTTCATGGACTTTCAGTTTGTTTTCATTCATCACATGTGTTCCTTTGTTTGATTTTCCCGCCACTAATCGGTAACCATGGACATTTGTTCATCACAGCTGGTCATCATTTACTGTAGTTCGTGTCCACCATCATGTATTTACTTCCTCTCTGTTCACTCCGTTTCTGTCGGTCGATTAAAGACCTTCGTCTTCTTTGTATTTTGACTGATCCAATCATCTGAGCTCTCAATGTCGTGTCACTCTGAAGCCCGTGGGAAAATGACGTCATCAAAACAGTGACTGGAACTCACAGGATCCCGAACCCTTCACTAGTGACTATCCTGAACTTTGACATCAATGACACGCATTTCTTATTTAAACCATCCAAAAGGAACTTAATGCAGGATTGAGACTCCTGAGATCTGTCCACAAAGATGGTTTCCACTGGTTATAACCAAAAATATGTTCGAAGAAGATTCTGCTAACACTCCCAATAGACCTTGGTCAGGTTAGATGCCATATTGCATTTAACTCGGATGAAAACGAGAGTCTTTACAATGGCATCCACTGTATAAACACATACATTTATACTCATACAACTTTTGTCTACTGAGCGTTTTTTTCAGAAAGACGTTTTGTCAGTATGTTGTTTAACAACAGCACATTGAACGCACTGTAATTCGCAGCTTCATTTTCATTTCTGTCAAAAAATAAATATGGTGTTACCCTGACTAAGGTCTATGAAGTTATGAAAACATTATTATCGAATGATCCCTAAAACGTCAATTTTTTTAATGTTTTAAAATATATATTTTTAAGGGAACATTGCATTCTGCAAATATTGTTGAAACGTTACTTTTGAATGTTCTCTGAACGTTTTAAAACAAGTAGTAACGTTTTAAAACGTCCAACTATGTCCAACTAAAACATTTCAGAAAAAAAGTACACAAAGTATTTTTGTGCTAACATTTTGAGAACATTATTAAAGACCATATCACTTCGAACGAACGTTCTATTAACGTTATCCAATCCAATCCAACTTTATTTGTTAAGCACTTTTAAACAACCAAAGTTGACCAAAGTGCTGTACAGAAAAAAAATAATCACATAAGGCACAAAATTACATATAAAATACAACAATAAAATAAAATGAAACAACATAAACATACATATAAACATGAGCACAAATAATAGCCATGCAATTGTTACTGGAATTTACTGAACGTTACTGGCCAACGTTACTGGAATAACTTTTGTTCATAACCTTAAGAGAATCTTGCCAAGCGTTCCCTGTTAGCAGGTTAGGTTGGCCTGGTCTGGGGTTTTGGGGTCATGTGAGCTGTGAGAAAAACCAGCTAAAACCAGCTTTTGCCATAAAACCAAATCTTGTGCCACTTCAAATCTTCCATTTATGTCAAAATGCTACAAAAAGTGGTGTCCTCCCAACATGCTCTTTTCCAGTAACGTTAACAGAACGCTTGTTCAGAGTTATCTGGTCTTTAATAATGTTCTCAAAATGATAGCACAAAAAACATCTATAAATCTTTCACGAATTTTTTTTTTTTTTTTTTGCAACATTTTAGCTGGACCTAACGTTTTTGAATGTTACAGATGTTACAAATGTTACTTGTTTCAGAATGTTCAGAGCACATTCTAAAGTAACGTTCCAAAAATGTTGCCTTATCATTTGCATAACCAAGAAAAAACAAGATTTTTTGATTGTTCAGACAACATTTAGAAATAGCATTTTCATAACTTTAATGGGAACAGAAGTGATCGGTGTTCCTGAAGTGTTTGCGTCATGTTTCAGGCCTCATCAACAGCACCTGTCAGAGTCACACTGCAAGTGCAGGACCCATGCTAACAGCAGGACAGTGCAGTTTCCTTACGCCACACTAATGCCCCGTTTACACGAAGGGAAGGCGCAGATATTTCCCTGCGGTTTGGCCTCTCATTTACACGAAAACCCTGTTTTTATCACAGAAAACGATTATTTCTAAAAACTCTGACCAAAGTGGAGATTTCTGATAACGCCGGTTATGTGTTGCCGTGTAAACTGGGAGAAACGGGGTTTTAGGTTCTCAAATGTCACATTATGCGCCAGAAAATGCTTCACGTCATGCGAGCGAGTGCCCAGTTTGGCAGAGTTATGATGGCGCTCGACGGCGTATTTATGCGGGTTGATGTAAATGACGACTTTTTTGAAACCGATGTTGTGTGCACGATGTTATTATTGAAAACGGAGGGGGGGAAATATTCCTTTCTCTAAATACCCGGCTATGTGTAAATGTTGTCTTATTTAAGTCCTCTGGAGTGACGTGAGCTCATTCAAGGCCACAATGAGAAAACCGACACCCTTTCATCTACCAGACCTGAGCTTTCTGTCATAATAATAGTCCTTGTTTCACTCACAGAGATTCCCGAGGGTCCTGGAGATCCAGGGAGGCCAGACTCTCCACGGGGGCCTTGAGCTCCTTCGGGGCCTCGGGCTCCGGTAGGTCCTGCTTCACCCTGTGAAAGATGAGAAACAACATGATACAAACCAACTGTGCGCTTTCAGCACGACTCTCTTCTCAAGAACAGGTTTCCAGAGCCTGGGCTGTGCATTAATCCGGTCTTTAAAAAGTGTTCATAAACCTGCAGATTATTACTAAATTTGTTGTTTGAATAATAGTATTAATAGCAGGAAAGTTGAGTATTCTTCCGGGAATGAACACGTCACAATATTCCTCATTTTAATAATTCATACACAGAATAAAGGGGCGGGGCCTGGTTGAGTTAGTTATGGAAAGGGGCGGGACATTTCCCAAACACACTCGAAGCGCTCGACCAATCACAACACACTCCTCCAGCCGACCAATCAGAGCACAGTGTGCTTTTCAGGAGGAGGGGCTTCATAGAGACAGGAAGTAAACAGAGCGTTACTGACAGACTGGGAAGAGAGGAGCCGCAACAATGGAGAATATGAGGAAAATAATCAACATTCAAGCGGGAAAACCTGTTCTAGTAGAGCAGAAAAACACAATCAAGACTTTCCCCTTTAAATCTAACATTCCTGCTGTTTTTGGTATCTTTAGCCTGTTACAAGTCATGCATAAAAATACCAAAGTAGCTCTACACTCACTAGTGAATTATTAATAATGACACATGTGACAGGAATTAAGAGGAATTAAGTATTAAGAGCTGTCAAACCTTAGACCCAGGGGATCCTGGGAAACCGGAAGCTCCAGCCGGACC